TCTTATTCACAGCTTTTACAGCTGTATCTATAGCTGACTGAATATTCTTCCAGGCTTCTCCAGGGTGAGCACAGCTGTCGGATTCAGATATGCGTTTAGCTAGTTCTTCCTCAAATAGGGATTTAGTTTCCTGATCGAGCTGGGGGCGTAATGGTTTTACCGCCAGCTGTTTCCTACGTCCGTTCAGTCGTAAGCACACACGAGCCCGGACCAGTGCGTGATCGGTATCTACACACGTGTTCCAGAAGGAGCGACAATCTCCTACCGACCCACGCCAACGATAGCTTATTGCTATGTGGTCTATTTGTGTCCAGCGTTGGTTTGATGATGGGGGTCGCCAGGTTAAACAGTGTCTCTCCTTGTGTTTAAAGTTAGTGCTTACAAGAAACAAATGATTATCTGAACAGAACTGTAGGAGACGGTCACCGTTGTCGGTTCGCTGGCACGGAACTCCATAGGTGCCACCGACATCCTTCTCAGATTGACACAATTTCCCTACTTGAGCGTTGAAGTCACCAGCTAGAACGACTATATCTGAGCGTTTAGCCTTTCTCACCAAACTAGACAGCTTTTGGTAGAACTCATCCTTCGTTTCATCCGAACTGCAGTCAGTGGGGGCGTAGGCGGAGATTACGAAAAGGCGTGAAACATATAAGTTACTATGTAATTACCAAAGTGAATCGACCCTGTCATTGTTCATCTTTCTGTAATTTTATGGTGTCACCCTATCTGTCCTTTAATTACAACTTTGCTATTTTTTTATTTTAGTTGTTATTACTATTATTACTATAATCTTATACTTTGTGCATATTTTTCTCCGTATCGCATACTGTAATTTGCTACATAGCTGCTATAACAACGTTTTATTAATATTATTACGTAATGTTTACTTTTTTGGTCGTTTTGAGTAAATTAGATGCAATCGGAAAAGCAAGACAACCTTTCATTACTCTCAAGTCCCTGTGGAGGTCAACAGCACTCCACAGTAGCATGGAAAATAAGATCCGGATTTTCAACTCCAATGTGAAGTCAGTCAGTGCTACTCACTATACGGATCAGAGACTTGCATTGCGCGTCATAAAGAGCATCTCAAACAAACTTCAGACCTTCATTAACACCTGTCTTCGCTCAATACTACTCAAGAACAGATGGCCGGCTAGAAAAGATCAGCAACAGGGATCTCTGCCAATGAGCGAATCAACCCAACAGGAACCAATTGTGAAACAAATAGGCAGGAAGGAATGGAGATGGATTGGCTGCCCATATTCTGAGAAAACAAGCCGCCAAGTGACATCACTAGACAAGCCATCGCTCGAATGGAACCCGACAGGGAGGAAGCGGCGAGTTGGTCGTCAGTGCAAGGGTGGTGTGACTTGGAGGAGGTCATGTAAAGAGGAGATGAAAGCGTATGGGCAGAATTGGAGCGGGGTGAAAAAGTTGGCATAGAACAGAAGGCGATGGAGATTCGCAGCTGAAGCCCTATGTTCCTCTAGGATTTAAAGGATATAATAATAACAATAATTGTACTGAATGCTGAAAATTCCTTGCTGTATCATTAGTACTGTTTTCGGAATAAGGCGGAAATCATTATTATTATGTATACGCATAGATAAACATCCTAATAGTTCGCCTACAACAGAATAACGACAAGAACGTACAGCGATAGGGAGGACCAGCAGTTAGATAGAATGAGAACCTTCAATCCCTTGCTTTTCGTATGATCGCTGTGTTATGTAGCTTTATACTTATTCATGTTTAGACTTTATCAATGTTACTCTTTTAGTTTCTGAGTGTGTTTTTTATTCCTTTACTTTCCCAGTGGAACTTGGAGAAATTCACGCTAGAGGCTTGAAGTTTCCGTAGCACCGGTGTTTTATTTTCACGGGATGGGGTTGCTAGCCAGACTCATGCCCAATCTTCTCTCCTTTTACCGGTCTTATTACTTACTGGCTCAGCGAGGGAAATGAGTGCGTTGGCAGCCAAGGGATCGAACCCCGGACCACCTAAGTAGTTGGTGAGCATTCTGCTGCTGTGCTATCGACCAACATTACTTTTACCTGACGCCACGATTAGTGATCGACCAGCTTTTCATTTCTTACTCATCGGACAATATTTTTGCCCAACCTTTCCTGTTTACCAAGGCACACTACCAGCTAAGTGGGCGAGGTGTTTGAGAGTGCCTCGGTGGCGAGGGATCAAACCACTGCACTATCACGCACACTTTATGCCGTCACTTGTAGTTAGTCGTAAGCTGTGACTCCTGACAAATTTTTCCCATTGATAAGGAGGGATTAATGCTTCCTTTATTTCATCGGGCTTTATCATTGCATGCATTGAGCTACACTCTATTAGAGTTCTAATAGTCTGAGGTGATGACTAAAGAAATTTTGAAGAATTCTGGTTGTAATTCATACGAACAGACTCTTCAAGTTCCCCACTGGAACATAGGGCGCCTTCAAGCTGGAGGCTTGACATTTCGGTAGCAGTGGCGTTTTATTTTTACAGGATAAGGGTTGCTAGCCAGCCTCATGCCATGCCCAAACTTCCCTCCTTTTATCAGTCTTATTAATGGCTTAGCAAGGTGGAGAGCCTCCTCGGCGGTCAGGGATTGCACTCCGGACTACATGATGCGTGCGTGGTTGGAGAGCCCTCTACCCCTGTCATGAATGCCCAGACATCGTCAAAGCATCTGCACAAGAAGCCGACATGTCAACCTGTGACCGAGCACTTTGGTCCAATCAATCGACGAGAAAATCAAAAATTCAATTCAGTACAACGAAATTATTGATTGTATCTATGTGTGATGAGAGCAGGCTGCTAGCCAATTCGTGATCACCTGTATTACTGTATATTTTCTGTCTCTACACTTCACTTGGTCCCCGACTGCAAAGGTAATGACCTCGTGACATTACTCCACTGCTTCCGCATTACATTCTTGACTGTGCCTCTTTCCACTCTGCTTTTAATTTCGTCGTATGCACCGGTCGCCTTTCATTAGCTGGCACCGTGGACATCCAGGTAAGTATCCTGCTACGTCTTCTCTCATACCTGGCCAGTACATGCTTTGTCTTAAGAGGTCGGTAGTTCTGGTCACGTCTGTATGTGCTAGCTGGTGACATTCTTCTATCATGTCGTGGCGCGACGATTGAGGTATGATAGCCAGCCAGCTTCCATCGTTCTCTCACCAGGTCAGAGTCCCGTAGGCATTCACTCTTAGTCGATCTCTCTGTCTGAGTAGTGTGGTTAGCTCTTTACTCGGTGTAGCTTGATCTACTTCTATTCCGTTGGTCTGGGACTATTGCTACGGCGTCTATTCATCGTGTCGCGTGTTCTGTCATCACCAAGAGGTACTGATTACCATTGGATATCTGAGGAAATGGACTCATGACATCTACGGACCACAAGTCACCTATCACGGTAACTGGAATCGACTGAAGCGATGGTCGTAAAATCGTACTCGTGAAGGCGCAACATGCACCGTGACAATTTCCTCCGTGGGTCTCTCGCTGTCTTCAAAAACTGTAGCGGCTTATGATCAGTTTCTATGTGGAACCGCCGGCCGAGTAAATAAGGTCTCCATTTGTCGACTGCCCATACCACTGCTAAACATTCTTTCTCTATCGTTGAATACTTTCGCTCTGTGTGTGTCAAAACCCTACTGACATACTCAACGATTCCCTCACCCTGTCTTAGGACCGCACCTATAGCGTAGTCACTGGCATCTGTGCACACTGTGAACTGTCTTACAGGTACAGGTAGTTTTAGCGTCACTTGGTGTCGCTGCCCACCGACAAATGGAAAGCCTATGCCCTGCAGTTTTTGATGGAGACGTGTGGATCTTCAGGCAGGACTTCAAGGCTTCTGCGCACTTGAGTGGCGTTTAAGATCTGTCAGCGATGGAGCTGCTACTTGGGACGCTGCCGGGAGGTCCGGTGAAAGCAGCATATGAAAGTTTGAGCCGAAATACCGACGAATGTTCGATAGGGTCGGGCAAACAGTTTCCAAAGTGGGAAGGACCACATATGGTCACTTCGAGATGGAGTTACGCAGACACAATCACAATGGCGAACAATGAGAGGCGCATGAACGTCAGCGAGCTCCAGAAATGGATACAGCGAGACAAGCCAACGATTACCAATTGGCTAGCAGCCTGCTCTCACCACATATGTATCCATTACGTGGGAAAAGCTATTTCTACCAACATAAAACCCTCGTTGGTTTGAGTCTGCATCTTCATGTGAATTTTGTAATTAATGTAAACTAAAACACGTAGATCAGTGAAGAGTCTCTTTTCGGCGGCCAATTCATTTTCTCAGCTGTACAATCGCAAATATATATATAAAGGTTATTTTGTATGTATGTGTACATTCAGTTTGTCAAAATTGGAGGATCTGGACTTCGCCAACGATGCTATATGTCTGATTTCCCACAAACTGGAGGATATGCGAGTGCAAAGCAGCAACAGGTTGTCAGAAGAAACATCCACTGAAGATAGGATTTCCTTCAGGTGAACATAGAGAAAACAGAGGTGACGATGAAGATTCTTGGCCAACAAAAACAGCGACAACAATAATCAACTAACATAAGTGGGAAGAACCTGAAAGTAACAACCTCCTTTACCACCCACCTACCTGGGAAGCTTTCTTTCAACTACAGTCACACAGAACTGACGAGGATATCAAAGCAAGAAATGGAAAAGCAAGACAAGCTTTCATTACTCTCAAGTCTCTGTGGAGGTCAACAGCACTCCACAGCATGAAAATGAAAATAAGATCCGGATTTTCAACTCCAATGTGAAGTCAGTGCTACTTACTTACTGTACAGATCAGAGACTTGCACTGCGCGTCATAAAGAGCATCTCAAACAAACTACAGACCTTCATTAACACCTGTCTTCGCTCAATACCACTCTTCTGGTGTTACACTACCAGTGAGTGGACCACGCACGTGATGTACACCAAAAATAAAGAGAGAATGAAACGCCGTGGGTGACTTCAATTACAAATGAATTATACACAAATTTAATTATAATAATAACAACAAGAATTTATTTTAATTCGATATATAAAAACAAACAAAATAGACACAAACAGATAGGCTAAGGAAAAAATGAAGAAAGTCGAGGGGTGGGACGGGGAGGTGAGATGAGGATTGGCCACTGAATAGAAGACAAGATCAAGATCATAACGAAATAGAAAATAGATAAATCAAAGTAGAAAGTAAGTAGTAGAACATGGAGTTGTCATGTACATATATATGAAGGTGGGAGAGGGGTAGAGAAGAGAGGAGGGAGAATGGCGGCGGTGTAAAACCAGTCAATCAGAATCTGATAATACATAATCAATCTATACTTATTCATCATCATTGGCTTTTTCACTGCCTGGGTAAAATAACACCACACATACATACACAGACTGTGTGCATGTGTGTATCTTTGTGTGTGTGTGTGTGTGTGTGACACACAACAAGGGGACGGGGGAGGGACAAGGGTGGGGGATATCAATGAACAAACGAAGAACACACAAACAAAAAAAGAAAAACAACAACGATAGTTAATTTGTACACATTCACATAATAATAATAATAATAATAATCTGATTCCTGTACAAAAAGTGTAATGAAATAATAATAATAATAGAGTGAAATAAACTTCCCAAACTCTCATTTTTCCATTTAAAACAAAAGCAAAAGATCACGCATTCACACATACATACATACATATGAAACATTCATTACACACAGATATAAATATACGAGAAATACTATCGGAGATTTTTATCACCATCATCATCACGGAGGGTGCAGAAGAGGAACGAGGTGTAGGTGGTGGTGGTTGTTTATTGTCGTCTACGCTTTCCATAATGACTTGTAGTCGACTCCTGATCCATGACAGTATCTGCAGCATTATTATTGTTATTACTCGGATTATTATTACTATTACTGTTATTATTGTTGTCTTCATTGTTCTTATTACTGGAATTAGTATTACTACTATTATTGTGAATACCATTTACACTAGATGTATTAAATTTTAGCGTTTTCAACTTTTTATTCATTTGGTCCAATAGATCTGAAGCGCATTGATGCAATCGGCTACCAGGACGATTACTACGTAACCAATGGGATAACAGGAGTCTGAAACACACACACACACAACACAAAAGCAATAACATGACAATTAACATGAGATTAATATTAAGTATAATATTTATTTTTCATAACCTATAGTCCTTCTAGGCGAGGACGCTGACAAAATAGAGCAGAGTCTTCTGAACACCTTGAGCTGCAATCTACGAATGTTTGGGATGCCATTCGCTACAGCCAAATGTAAGATGATGGAGTTACAGGACTGGACTACACCGACTCCTAGATTAGAAATAGGAAGTGAAGTGGTTGGTGGACTGCGTTGACTGCTTCACTTATTTGGGAAGTACCATCAGCCAGTACCAATGGGTTGATCTCTGACGAAATCTCAGTAAGGATACAGAGGGCTAGTTTCGCATATGCCCGCCAGTTTACACCGTCTATGGCTTAGTAGATGTGATATTCGACTGGCTATCGACCAAAGGGCGGGTGTACTGCTCATCAGTCCGCTCCGTTCTTCTTTATGGCTGTGAGCGAGACCTGGCCACTGAGAGTGGAAGACATGAAAAGATTAGCTGTCTTTGATCATAGGTGCCTGCACTCTATCTCCCGTGTGAAGTGGTATAAGAAGGCGAGCAATATTGAGGTTAGGCCTCGGTCGAGTGCTAGATAAGGAGGGAGGGGAAATCAATCGACGGAGTTGTGAAGTTACATCGACTGAGATGGTTAGCGCGGATGCCCGGCGCTCTTCACCGGGTTGACTGTCCATTGGATGACAGTCTAGGGGAGATGGCTAATCCCTGATTCCAAACTTCCAACGACTGGCGTATGAAGCTCACCGGAGGTCACTGGCGGACGTATGGACAAAGGGCTTATTGGATGCCCTGGATGTCTGGCCCCATTCAAATAGGCGTATGAACCGGACTACAGTCACCGGCTGCCAATGGATAGTGGACTCCCTACTCCACTCCTACTGCCTTGTAGGTCACACTTGGTTGTGTAAAGGCTAGAGCTGCACTCTCAAACACAAAGGCCGAGCGATTCTGGGGACATCACTCGTACCTAATTACCATGAAACTTCATGAACTCTCAACAACATCAACCAAATTCCAGTACTGGTCCAACAACGTCGCCTTCGGTGGTTTAACCATGTTCTGCACCGACCAGATGACGATCTGGTCAAATCAGCTCTAAATCCCTCGCCATTTCCATCTTGGCGATGTCGCAAGGGTGGACAGCTGAAAACATGGCTTGGTACAGTCAAGGCTAATATGGAGTGCCTGGGGCTACAAACCGTCTACGGACTCCGTCTGTAAAACAAGAATTGGATAACCCTGTCTGTCTGGATTCAACGTAGAACTTCGCACCCAAGTGCACCAGTTCGAGTTGCCACATTCCAAATAGCACACAGAGGTAGACAAGAAGATGAGTGAAGAGAATCAACAGAGTTTGACAAGTATAAGAGTGAAACAGAATGGGTAATGGTAGAAAGGAATATGAAAGATTACAGAGACTAAATACATCGATAACCCTGTCGCAAAACCTTGCATCAGATCGCCGTGCCTCGGCAGCGTTGATTCAAGATGTTCATGAAGCCGGCTCATCCTCCTGTAGGAGATAGCCGAAGTAAAGTAAAGTAAAGTAAGTAAGTTAGGACATGTGTTACGTATGCCAAGTCATCGCCTTCCTCGACGAGCAATGTTAGTGGATATAGGGTCAGGCTGGAAAAAGCTACCGGAGGTCAAACAAAAACATGGCACCAGTCAATGAAATCCACAACAGTCAGTTTAAGCCAGTCACATAGGAAGGTGTAGACTTCCTGGTTGGGGTCCTCGGGACGGTAAAAACCAATGGTGGTTGGAAACAATTGGTGATATGGCTCGAAATCGTTCTCAGTGGCTGGAGCAGATGCATCCACTCCTTGTGACTTATAATTTCCAATGAAACTGTTTTGTTCTCCGTTATTACTCTTTCTTTGTCTCACACCTCTGCTTACTGTCTCTGTTATGCATTTCTTCTACTTTCTTCTCTTGCATTATGTGTTTCAAGGAGGAAGTGTGGCGACTTGAACTGGTGCACATCGGTGCAAAGTTCTATGTCGAAAACAGACAGGCAGACAGATATCGTATTCTTCATCTTCATCAAGTTCTACAAGTTATATATGAAGAAAGTTATCACTACTGCTGTGTAACGAGGAAAAAACACAAGGGCCAGGCAGCAGATTGTTTATTGAGAAAATCAAGAGGTATTTTACGGAAATTCTATGTATTATTATTGTTACCAGAGAAGCAACCTTTTCCGATTGGTTGTTTTCTTGCTTAAGATTCTGTTATTCTGTTATGTCTTTGTGGCCGTTTCACAGGAAATCGAGTCATATATATATACACCTGCGAATCATATTTCCACACGCTAACTCTTTACTGTGATTGGCTGGTGAGTTCTCCAAGGTTAAGGTTTTGTTATTGTTTTATTTTTTCATATCACTACATACAGACAACCACGGACATCACAATTTGACTGGGACAACCAGCGTTCAAATATTAGACAAAAGAAACAACAAGAATGCTAGAGAATTTTTAGAAGCCTGTCTGGTATTCCACTGAATCATCAGTCAATCAATAGACACATCGAGATGGGCAAAAATTGATCAACCGATAAGAAAGAAACTTCACACACAAAGGGTCAAAGTTCAGGCCAAAGAAACAATCGGTTCCAATATAAGTAACCTAGAAGGTGTGAAAACACACAAAAACAACCAATCACATCCAAGATCACCCGCCAGGAGAGATGACTAATAAACTAGTGGAGAAATCCAAAATCTCACCTCAAATTGAAGTATGGGCGCTGAAGATGTCGTCTAGTAGGGCGATGAAAGCTTCGCAAATAATTAACCATCCAGCGCAAACAACACAACCACATCGAAATCATTCACCTGAGCTACAAACCTTCTCTATCATATCAAAATAAACATTCCTTTAGGAAGTGTCTTCGTCTTATACTGTTTCAATGCCATCAATGATGTCCACCAAGTCATAATGAGTGTACGGATAAATACTTGCTAATGACATTGACTATGGTGGGTAATCACAATAACACTATGGATTGGTTATAAATTGAAACTGAATTGACTGGCCATTAGGATCAGATCCTCATGGCTGAATGACCTACAAGCTCATCTTGTGTTCGAATCCCAGTGTTTTCTTACTGTGTTGACAGCTAGCTGCCAGCCAAATTGGTAGACAGTAATTTACGTCAATGTTTTTTCCATCACGTTCCCCAGTGGAACATAGGGCTTCAAGCTAGTGGCTTGAAGTTTCTGTAGCAGTGTTTATTTTACAGGATTTGATTGCTAACCTCATGCCAAACCTTCCCTCTTTACCAGCATTATTTCTGGCTCAGCGAGGTAGAGGAGTGAGTCGGCCGGGGATCGAACCCTGGACCATGTACATGATCGGCGAACGTCTTAAACGCTATATCACCGACGAACACACGTCAGTGTTTACGTCCCCAATATTGGTCGTAAGAAAATCAGAACAAAGACTGATTCAACAACCAACCACAACAGACTGTGCGTAGACGGATACAATTAGTATATAGATGATCTGATATTCAAGAAAAAGCCACAAAGAGGGAAAGATTAACTTCCAGCGAGAAACAACCAATCAGAAGACTGTGTTTCTGCTAGCAATAATCTATGATAATGTACATGAAAATCTATAAATACGTGTTGATTTCCTTAATAAACGATCTGTTGTCTGGATCTTGTCTTCTCTTGTTCCATTACCACTGAAGAGTTCCAAACACTATGATGAAATTTGAAGGAATTGACGTCGCACACAAACCAACAAAATCACTTCACTCAGCTGGTTGCCTGGCTCTATGTCAACCAAACGATTCAACAATGAGAGGAAGATAAAACCAACATCATCTACATAATAAGTTGCAACGACTGCAAAAAACACTAACTAAATTGGCCAAAGTGAACGTCCCCTTCGTCTTCGTATCCATGAACATAAACCAGCCATCGAAAGATATGACATTCACTCCCTCGCTCATATCGCTGCATAGAGACAACCATTTACATCATTTCGACTGAAACAACCAGCGTTCAAATATTAGACAGAGGAAACAACAAGAATGCTAGAGAATTTTTAGAAGCTTGGAATTCAACTGAACCATCAATCAATAGACACATCGAGATAGACAAACTTTACCAGTCGATAAAAAGGAAATCATCTCACACACAAAGGGTCAAACTTCAAGTCAAGGGAACAATCAGTACCAATTCCAATAGAAGTAGTCTAGAAGGTGTGAGAACGCACAGAAACAACCAATCACGCACGACGTTCAAGGTCATCATCCACCAGGAGAGGTGACTCATAAACTCGTGGAGAAATCTAAAAGCTCACTTCAATTCAAATCGAAGTATGCTCTGAAGATGTTGCCAGTCTAGTAGGGGGGCGATGAAAGCTTCGCAAATTGACCATCAATCCAGCTCAGAGAACGCAGCTGAGTATTTTCCTGCATTATTTCACCTACCAATTGTTAATTAATTCAATATAAGTTTTGTCAATGTTACAGAAAATTTTCACATCTATCTTGTTACGTAATATTTGAATTATCTACTATCCTTTTATTCACGCTACATTCCATGAACTAACTAACTAACTAATGGTGTCACTTTACATTTCACACTTTGAATATATATAATTGAGAAGATATTTAGCTTTCTCTCTCTTGTGGATGTTTTTGATGTGAATGCCTCTCTTTGAGGAGGTGGATGTGGGGTTTACGACTGTCGTAACACTGTGACTGCCCAACAATAACAGTCTGTTAATCAAAAGCAATCTGTTGGTTTCAGCCATTAAATCTTCAAGTTTGTGTACCGCTGTACATATATCATCCGAGGAGTATAGATCCTTCTAAAGTCTTCTTGTCGATTCAACTACTTTGCCCTTTCAGGTAGGTAGTTACCTGGGGTTCTAGTGAGAAGTCGTGACCAGTAGGGTGTAGCAGGTTGGGGGGTGTGAGGACAAATACTCGCCGAAGACATTGTCTAGCGGTCGCGCTATATCGTGAGTTGGCAGAAGTTAGAATTCATAGGCTGGCTAACCATTGGATCGGGTCCCAGTGGCTCAATGGTCTACGAGCTCGCCTTGTAACCAGAAGGTCCTGGGTTCGAATCCCGGTGGGTGCGTACTGCTGAAGAGTCCCAAACTAGGACGAAACAGCTGTCCAGTACTCCCAGGATTCCCAATGGTTCTCCAATCAATGTCAGCTCATGATGAAATCCTGTAACCAATCAACCAAATCCTTACAAACCAACGCTTAAATACCTTGTGTCTACCTTACTTTTCTTTGAGTTTTCCGTTGTGGACCACTGTTTACATGAAATTGTCATATAGCTGTTGATAGCTGCCGTTGATAAAAACTTGGGGTACTGTACTCTGTAGTGCTCCAGTTACTTCGTGGTCAACGTGTTGTCGAAACGCCTTTTCAAAGTCAATGAAGTTAACAATTAACCATCTGCTATTTATCTTTCAACATTCAATGGCGTCGATGGTGGTTCAACGGAAGAATGCTCACCAATCAACCCCCATATGATCCGCGGGATTCCATCTTTGGCCACCGACGCACTCCTAAACTTCACTTAACCTATAGTAAGGTCGATAAAGTGAAAGGATTGGGGGTGTGAGGCTAGCAACTTCATCCCATAAAATCGAATCATGAATGACATTGCTTCTGAAACTTCAAAGCTCTACTTTGAAGCCGCCTCATGTTCCACGGGGAAAGTAAAAGGACTGAAGAAATTCTCACTTAAGATTCAATATGACTTTTTTTTTTAATAACAAAAAAGAGTTAAACTAACCTGAGTTGTGGAATTACTTGTCCTGGACCCTGAGGTAGTTCACCACGAGTTAATAACTCTTGTAAGCCAACAAGATCTAAAGCGTACAATCTCCGATCTTCAGTAACAGTAGGTGTTAACGACGACGATGTTGTTGATCGTGTTCGATGACCAGTTGTTGTACTAGAACGTTCACCACTTACAGAATTGACAACTGAATTACTCTGTGAATTAACATTATTATCACCATCATCATCATCATCATCATTATGATTGGATTGATTCAATTCGGTTAGAGCTGCACTTCGACCAAGTCCACAACGGAGAAGTGGACGTGCTGAACTACTCATGCATAACTCTGACATAAAACGTTCTGCAGTAGCTTGATCCAATTGTTCATTGTTATTGAATATCGGTGGAATTGGATCAGAGATCAGATCTGGTGAAGGACTAGGGAGAGATTTGGGGAACTTTCTCGGACGACCACGACCAGTAGAACGTCGTCCTCCTCTGTCAGTGGTATTTGTGATCTGGGGACTAGAGGTATCTAAAATAATAGATACATGTTTCACTGAATATCAAAAGAAAACAAAATTCATTGTTAAGACGACCAAAAAGAGTAGGACACCCAGAAATACTTCAGCCTATTCATGAGGATAATAATAATAGATGAAGAAATCTATTTTCTCATGTACAATGTAGTAAAGTTTGCAAATACTTTAACACAGACTATAGTGTTCCGAGTGGAACATAAGGTTGACTTCAACAACACCTCTCCACTTTGTCCTGTTTTCTGCCGTCTTCTTCAGCTGGCTAACTCCACGATTGACCAAACTCTCTCATCTCCTCGTCCTTTAATTCACACAATCTCCTCCAGGTCGGTCAACCTCGCACCGACCACCCACTCATCGCTTCCCATTTGAATTCCACTCGAGCGATGGCCTAGTGTTTGATGTCCTTCGGCAGCCTCCTCAATATATGCCCAATCAACCCATCTCCACTGACTGCCACATATTTGTTGAGCGATCGGCTCTTGCTCGGTTGGATTGTTTCCATAGTTTCTTGTTGCTTGTTCTTTATGGCCGGTCATCTGATCTTCAGTATGGAGCCACCAGCCAGCGAAGATGGCAGCTGATGGTGAAAGTCTGCAGTCGCCCCTGTTGGAAATCCTTTTCGTGACTGACACACAGTGCAAGTTTCTGACCCGTATAGAAGAACCGACTCCCCTAGTTAACTAGCTCGCTAGTTTTCTAGTCGATCCCAAGCCTGGTCGAAGTGGGAGGAGGGTTGGACATGGGGCTAGCAACCCCACACCACTAAATCTTTCAAACCGCTAGAGAAACGCTAACATACAGAAAATATTTTTTTTATTGAATTTGAGATGTTCCCGTCGATTGATTGGATCGAAGTGCTCGGTCTCAGGTTGACATGTTTGTCGGCTTCTTGTGCAGATGCTTCGACGATGTGTGAGTATTTAGTTAGTATTTAATTGGTGGACGGTGACTAACAGTGGGAACTTCAAATAAAATTAATATGACCCGTTGCACAAGAGGTGGCTGGCTCTCGTGGCCCAAGTGGTCTAGTGCATAACGCTTTGGCGTTTAAAACTATGGGTACTGGGTTCGAGTCTCGGTGGTGAGAACATCATCACCCACTGGCTGACGAGTCCCAAATAGGACGAGATGCGCATCCTGGATTCCACTGCTAGTCACCATCCACCAATTAAATACAGAAAATATATTAAATGTACAAAATTCAGTTTGCACCACCACAATATGTGGTCAGACAATAATCTCCGTTGAAAACAAATCTAAGCTCCATTGAAAGTGTCATGCTATCCAGAAATACAACAGCTAAAGGCAGATAGGATAAGTGAAATTTCCATTCCACACGTAGCACCAGTACACACACACACACACAATAGTAGTGAACAATAGATATAGTGTCAAAAGTAGCTACTGTCTGTCTAAAGTGACAAAGTAACTCGATAGTTTCTGCAAAAGAAATGTACTTTGACTGGTTGTGTTTTTTCACAGAGAACTTGGTGCGAAAGTACAACACTTCAAGTTCTCATACTCTATGTACTACACAAAGGAAGACAAAAAATACTGGGGGTGGGGTGGGAAATGATTCATTGAGTGTGTGTGTGTGTGATGTGAGAGAGAGAGAGAGAGAGGGAGAAAAAGAAAGAACAGTTACACATGGAAAAAACACGAGGTTCTAATGAATATATGGGAGATAGATTACATAGATTGAGGGTTAGCCAGTGGGAACGATTATGAATTATACCACTAATTGTCTCCAGAGTCATCAGCTTTTAGAATCCTGAGGAGTCTAACTCTAAAGAACAGTCAACACACCCCCTCCTCTCCATATATATAGATGACTGGCTCAAACTAATCACAGATTTAATCATCGACCTTATCCGCTAGTTAAGCTAACATTCCTCTCGTAGGTTGAGGGAGGCGAAGGCTGAGAATGCATAACAACACATGGCCTAGCCATACTCACTCAATCATCTATGTAACTCCACAACCTTATCTATTGACTGACTTCTCCGCCCCCCCTTCTTACCGCCCAACACTCGACTGACGTCTAACCTCAGTGTTACTCTCCATATTATAATACCATAGGAGACAGGACGCAGACACCTACGATCAAAGACAACAAGTCTAGAGAAAAGGAATAAAGAAATCCAAAAAAACTGCAATTGAATAGAGATGTACAAGGAAAAGAAAAATGAAGTAATTATGGAAAAACATGACAACTTATTCGATCTGGAAGATAATGAAAAAAGAGTGAACAATTCTCTATCCCCTGGGATTATCAAGTCTTTCTGTGATATGACTATCTAAAGTTCTAGGCTCAGTAATCATCCGTAGACTAAGTGATCCTCGAGAGGAATAAATATGAAACAACTAGGCAGACTTTAGACCAGGAAAAGGGTGGGTATATTGATCATATCTTCACCCTTCGACAGATTCTGGAACATGGGAATAATTACCGCCGTCCAACAATCGTTAGATTTCTTGACCTAAAGGCGGAATTCGATTCTGTCAACCGAGAGGTACTCTGTCGATGTTTGGCTGAAAAGGAAATGCCGAGAAAATTACACTGCACTGATCAAGACACTCTACTCGAATTCATGTCTTCAGCCAGGTGAGAGTCTACGGAGAGTTATCATCTGAAATGGTGACAACTAGTGGTATCCATCAATGGGGATGCCCAGTATCCCCATTTCTATTCAATTTCATCATAGATGTACTCATGCACTTAACCCTAACTCACTTCAGAAACTCAGGGATTAAATTGTTACCAGCAGGGAATAATCTCATTGACTTAGAATATGCAGACGATAGTCATTTTAGGCGAGGACGCTGACAAAATGCTGAAAACAACCTTGAGCTGTAATCTGCGAATGTTTGGCATGCGATTCCCTCCCGTAAGATGGTGACACAGAGGACTGAGTGGACTACATCGACTCATTCCTAGCTTAAAGATAGGCAGGAGTGAAGTGGTTGGCGGAGCGTGTTGACCACTTCACTTATTTGGGTGGGAAGTGGCAGCAACCAGCACCAATGGGTCGATCTCGCTGAGGAAATATCAGAACAGATAGAGAAAGCTTGTTTCGCATATGTCAAATTTACGCCATCTCTGACGTAGACGTGATGATATCCGGATGGCTATCCATCAAAAGACGTGTGTATTGGACAGCAGCAGTTCACTCTGTCCGCCTTTATAGATGTGAGAAAGTGACCATTGAAAGTAGAAGACATAAAAAAAGCCAGCTGGCTACAATAATAGGAATCCACACTCAATCTTACATGTTCAGTGGTATACTAAAGTTAGGTTAGGCTGTGGTCGAGTGTTGGGTGTAAGGACAAGAAATCAATTGATGAATGTTGCTAAGTTACACCTATTCAGATGGTTAGGACGTGTGTTACGCATGCATGCATGCCTAATCATCGCCTTCCTTGACTGATAGAATTCAGTCTGTATCAAACAAACGACTACTAGATATGTGAAATTAGTTACTTGCTACTCTTAATACGTGTTTATAACCAAAGTCTCTAGCCATTGGGTTCTTTCTTAGTGTTTTTATTTTTCGAAAAGACCCCAACCAGGAAGTCTACAACCCCTGGCTACTTAGCTTGCTTAAGCCAAACGTTAAAAAATTCCCAAGCTTTCGATTTGATTCTCAACGTTTTCAAGAGTCGTAACCAGGGGTGCTGTTTTTGATTTTAAAAACCCTTCACAATCAGTGTGCATCCACGATCCTATTAATTAGGACTCACATATATACATACATATTACTTATACACTGACCATTGGATCAGGTCCCAATGAATTGGTCTACGAGCTCACTGGCCTTGTAACCAGAAGGAAGGAAGGTCCTGGGTTCGAACCCCTGTAGTGGGTGCGTATTTCTGAAGAGTTTGAAACTAGGGCGAAACATCTGTCAAGTACTCCTAGGTTTTCCAGTGATTGTCTAACTGATGTAAGCTCAAGGATGAAATCCTCCATCCAATCAAACTAAATGCTCACAAAAACCAATACTTAAACACAAGAATCATTGTAAGGAAATGAAAAACTTACATCGATTATTATCATTATTATTATTATTATTATCGGCTTCAGTATTTTCTTTACTTTTTTTTTCTTGATTATACGGTTTCAGGAGTTGTTCAACTTCATCATCATAATGAACATCTACAGTAACGCATAATTTATTTATCGATGATATAGCATCGATTACATCGGTATGATTGGCATCCTCGTCATTCCCCTCCTCCTCTTCATCACCACCATCATCATCATCGCTATGACAATCATCGGACTGATGATGACAGCGACCAACTTTTTCAGAAATTGATCCAATTGTTGAACGACGTCCACGTCCACGACCGCGACCTCGACCACGACCACGATTATGATGAAGACGTTTTGGTCTGCCACGGCGGCGTCCAACAGTAACAACTGTTGACAGTGTACGTATATTGGTTTGAAGCGTTTTTATTACATTACGACGATTTGATCTGTTCACAGTTGAATTAGAATTTTCTGTATTTTCAAGAATACTGTCTAAATTTTCATCAGTATTTTCATGATTTGAAGATGAACCGCCATCATCATCATTATCATCATCGTCATCACCATCACCATCATTATCGTGATCTCGATCATCATTGTCATTGTGACGTTTCCGTCCAGTGGGCTTTCCTTTCTAGAAATAATATTATAAATTGAAAAATAAAGAAAAAGAAATAAAGAAAATTAACGGGTGAGTGAATTTCAATCAATTACTATTCCACCACACCAGGGGGAGGGGAGAATCAATTTTCCCCGACGACTGTGGAGATTCTGTACAGTGAAAACAAGTTGAATGAGTATACAGACCAAAATCGTTAGTTGCTAGACCCTAACACGTGGTGGTTATCGAGCTTCTATATTCGTAATGACCCAACGATCAACATAGTTGTCTGGTGAGCATATGCTTCTCTCTGCAGGTCTTTACCATGACAGAAAGGTCGTTAGACTAAAAAGCAGTAAGTCTCTTTCAAACTGTGTTGGAATAATTCTTTGGAAAATACCCCCGGAATCATGTCTGTCTGTGTGTTTTCAACATAGAACTTTGCACCAATGTGCATCAGTTCAAATCGCCACACTCCACTCCTTGTAACACACAATGCAAGAGAAGAAAGTAGAAGAAATGCATACTAGAGACAGTAAGCAGAAGTGTGAGACTAAGGAATAGTAATAACGAAGAACAATATAGTTTCATTGGAAATTATAAGTCACAGTGAGTGGATGCATCTGCACCAGCCGGCCATTGAGAACGATAATTTTGAGCCATATCACCGATTGTCTCCAGTAGGCAATGGTTTTTACCGTCTCGAGGACCCCGACCAGCCAAGAAGTGGTTAGCCTAAACTATCTGTTGTACATTTTCATTGACTGATGAAGCAATGTCTTGGTTTGGCCACCGCTAGCTTTTTTCAAGTCTGACCCTATATCAGCCAACATTGCCCGCTGTACAGAAAGGCGATGACTAGGCATTCATACGTAACACATGTCTTAACCATCTCAGTCGACGTAACTTCACAACCTCGTCGATTGATTTTCCCTCCTTCCTTATCTAGCATTCGACCGAAGCCTAACTTCAATATTGCTCATCCTATTATGCCACTTCATACGGGAGATAGAACGCAGGCACGTATGACCAAAGACAGCTAGTCTTTTCATGTCTTCCACTCTCAATGGTCAGGTCTCACAACCATAAAGGAGGACGGGTCGGATTGCTGCTGTGCAGTACACTCGCCCTTTAGTCGATAGCCGGATATGATGCCATTTGAATGATGTATTTACAACTGATATTTCAACTGACTTTGCAATTATTGTTATTCGTCTACTCCTAGACTATGTATCATTCCTCCAACGTCAACATATCATCTATTGACCTAATCTGCACTAATCTCGCACTTTTAATGCTTCTCTTTGTGGTTGTGTGTGTGTGTGTGATGATATGGATGTGTTGTTTTACGACTGTGATTTTGTTTTGCATGGGTCAAGATCGTTTTCTGAGCTTGGGCTGTCTACAGGAATTGTTTGATGCGTAACTACTGTTAACAGAATTTTCATCCCACCTTATTGGGAATATGCTTCTTACAGTTAATATTTTGGTTACATAATTCTGTTGTAGTGTGGTACTCATTTTCTACTGGAGGAAGAATTGGATTTGTATAGCCCGCCCAACGGCATTGTTAAAGTAATTTTGAGTCCTGATATCTTAGGACTGTTGAATAGTGCCATACATACATACATATATATAATTGTAAATAACTGTCGTTTTACTATCGTCCAGGGGAATTCTTTGAGTGCGAATAACTCAAAGAAGCTTTGGTCAGTTATACATATACGGTAAGAGGCGAACATTACTCTCTCCAGAATTCAAGATGACAGTTTTTGACAGTTATGATAGCTACACTGTGCTTAAGGTCTGAGAACAAAGTTGTACTGTGATGAGAGCTGGCTGCTAGCCAAAGTTGGCAGACATTAATTTGCGTCAATGTTTATGTCCCAAATATTGGTCGTGAGAAAAATATGAATACAAAACTGATTCAACAACCGACCATAGCAGATTTTGCGTAGACGGATACAGTTAGTATATAGATGATCTGATATTCAAGAAACAGCCACAAAAAGATGCAAGGTTAACTTTTTGTGAGAAACAACCAATCAGAGGACTGTTTTTCTGCTAACAATAATCTATAATAATGTACATGAGAATCTATAAATACGTGTTGATTTCCTGAATAAACGATCTGTTCCCTGGCCCTTGTCTTCTGTTGTTGTTACAGTACTACTAGTTGAATAGTCAGATCGAAGTGATCTAAAAACATCAGGGATGATCATTTTACCCGTTTGTGCCCAAGCTCATCAGTCGTGTACCTACCTTCACCTCCATCTTCGTTTGACTCACTTCACAGGAATCGAATCTGATGAATTCTGGTCAGCTCTACTATCGCATAAATTGATTTGATACAACATAGAATCGAATTCGCTTATTTGCCAAATAGCCATTAATAGCAATCCAGACGTCCCTGAAAGCATGACGACAACATGGATACATTCGCTTGTCACGGTCAAACGATCGTGTCGACGTCTCTTTTTGATTCTTCGACGTGAACTTTTCCTATCATTGTGAAGCAGAATTCATCAAGCGTTGGAGAGCACACCCACAAATAGCAAATGTAAGCTAGACCGTCATGAGACCCTACTAATGAGTACAATAACCAGTGATAATCCTGTTAAGTATTGTATGAGGAGCAAGTCCAGACAATTGGTATATGTTCCTGGTCGAAAGGTCGACGGTGCGAAGCTATCATCTGAAGGATTACAACGGTACATCCGACACGTGACTGGGCAAATTTACGTATTCCTCTGGGTGTCCGACCAGGTCCACTAGAGCAATAAGCATCAAAAATATGCTGCGGATTTCAGGGTGTACGAGGTCTATCTAATTGTGATATGAACATGAGGATACAAAATCGTTTGTAAACGACTTAGCATCTTGTTGGGGAGATATGAGGCATTCAGTTTTATTATTGCTTCGTGTATTCAGCTCACACACTAGGCTATAAATCACACTTATTGCTACGAGTCATTTGATGTCAACAATACCTAGTTAGTTATCCCGGTTGAAGTAGGTGTGGAAAGCCAGATTCGAACCTAATATCGATTTTTGGAACTCTTTTTATTTTTAACAGGACAATTATTAGCCGATTATGGTGTCTAAGAACAATGCAGCGTGCAGAGAGTCATACAGGTGATGATCGGGAGTACTGGGTTCGAATCGCAATGGGAACATTATCACCCACAGTCTGGGAAATTAGTTTTTAAAATTTCTATTTGTAGCTTGATTCCACACAGTACTTTTGATAGAAGTATGAAATTTTCAGCAAGTGATAACGGTAGCCCGAATTTTGCAGGCCAACCATTGATATCGAGTGTATCTCGGCAGGCGATCGATCGGACCATGTGCATGGTCGGCGAGAGTCCTAACCACCGATGTACATTTCTGCTGATTGACGAGTAATCCCAAATACAACAAAATACGCATCTTGGATTCCATTCACCAAATTACTTCCAGTAGAATAAATCAAACTATTAAGAAATCGTGACAACAGGTCGGGTGTGAGGACAAATACTCGCCGAAGACATTGGCTAGGGGTCACGCTATGTCGCGAATTGGCAGAAGTTATAATTCATGGACTGCCTGGCCGTTGGATCGAGTCCCAGTGGCTTAATGGTCTACGAGCTCGCTAACCTTGTAACCAGAAGATCCTGGTTTCGAAACCTGGCGATGAGTACGTACTGCTGAAGAGTCCCGAACTAGGACGAAACAGCTGTCCAGTACTCCCAGGATTCCCAATGGTTCTCCAATCAATGTCAGCTCATGATGAACTCCTGTAACAAATCAAACTTCGTCAAAGCGTCCGTGCTAGCAGCTGACATATCCCAACCGAAGTCGAACCATTCTATTCAATCAATCAATAACCGAATTAAAAGTGAATTAATAAACAGTTGAAATTTACCTGTGAAATATCCTCTTTAATACAAAAATCATCGTTTGAATACACTAATGTAGTAGATAATTGAAATGCTTGACTATTTGAACTTGTCATTCCAACATGATCATCTGTTGGTGTTGCTGGCGTTGTTGTGGTAGTTGATGATGATGATGATGGCGACGACAGGAGACCAGCTGAACGCAGACAATATGTACACAGGATAAGACTACCACCTGTCACTTCCATACGAGCTGATGTAATACTCGATAAAGAGGAATAATTACTCAAGAAGCCAGTTAAAGATAAATCAATATTGTTGAAGGCAGGATTATTTGTGCCTATGATAATATCAGTTGATAATCTAGGCCGAGAAGATCGTCGGGCACTGATTCTTCGACTATTGGAATTCAGAAGACAATCTAAGTGGTATGGACATGCACAACCAGAGCAAACAGAAAATGCAGATAGATTTCCAGAGGCAGTAGGTACAGGAAAAACATCAGGTGGGCCTCTGTATAAAGACATAAAAAAAATTTTTTTTCAACAAAATGATTAGTTTAATGAACACAATATGAAAAAAAAACAGAATCAAATTACTCAAATTAAAATTGTTACTACTCAGCATTTAAGAAAACGCAGATAATCAAGTTGAATCAACTTGAATTAGTGTGACTGGTGCACTGTACTTACAGCGTATTTGTGTTACATCACTCGTGTTAGATGAGACAATACAGTCACTAATAGGGAACATGGAGGTATTGTTGTTCTAGACGGTGAGTCAATAATATTGTGACAGTGATAATCACAGAGGGATTAACTTGACTAATATAGTATCTAAAGTCCTGCGTAGACTAAGTGGTGCTCGGGAGGCACAAACACGAGAGAGCCAGGCAGGCTTTAGACCAGGAAGAGGGTGTATTGATCATATCTTCACCCTCCGACAGATTCTAGAACATAGTCATTCTTACCGGCGTCCAACAGTCATTATATTTATTGACCTAAAGGTGGCATTCGATTCTGTCGACTGAGACGTACTCTGGAGATGCTTGGCTGTAAAGGGAATTCCGAGAAAATATATTGCACTGATTAAGGCACTCTACTCGTACTCATACAGCCAGGTGAAGTCTTACGGCGAGTTGTCATCTGAACTGGTGATGACTAGTGGTGCCTGTCGGGGATGCCCATTATCTCCTTTTCTATTCAACTTCATCATAGATGTACTAATGAATTTAACCCTTACTCCCTCCAGAGAATCAGGGATTGACTTGCTACCAAGGAATAATCTCGTTGACTTTGAATATGCAGACGATATAGTCCTTCTAGGTGAGGACGCTGACATAATAGAGCAGGGTCTTCTGAACACCTTGAGCTGCAATCTACGAATTTTTGGCATACGATTCGCTCCCTTTGTCAAATGTAAGATGATATTACAGAACTGGACTACACCGACTCCTAGATTAGAAATAGAGAGTGAAGTGGTAGAGCACGTTGACTGCTTCACTTATTTGGGAAGTACCATCAGCCAGTACCAACGGGTTGGTCTCTGATGAAATCTCAGTAAGGATACAGAGGGCTAGTTTCGCATATGCCCGCCAGTTTACACCGTCTATGGCTTAGTAGATGTGATATTCGACTGGCTATCGACCAAAGGGCGGGTGTACTGCTCATCAGTCCGCTCCGCCCTCCTTTATGGCTGTGAGCGAGACCTGGCCACTGAGAGTGGAAGAGATGAAAAGATTAGCTGTCTTTGATCATAGGTACCTGCGTTCTATCTCCCGTATGAAGTGGTATAATAAGGTGAGCAATATTGAGGTTAGGCCTCGGTTGAGTGCTAGGTAAGGAGGGAGAGGAAATCACTCGACGAGGTTGTGAAGTGACATTGACTGAGATGGTTAGGACATGTGCTACATATGCCTAGTTATCGCCTTCCTCGACGGGAAATCTTAGTTGACATAGGGTCAGGCTGGAAAAGAGCTAGCGGATGTCAAACAAAAACATGGCACCAGTCAGTGAAATCCACAACAGTTAGTTTAAGTCACGTAGGAAGGTGTCGAGTGGCGTCCGGGTTGAGGTCCTCAGGACTGTAAAACCAATGAAGGCTGGACACAATTGGTGATATGGCTCAAAATCGTTCTCAATTGCCGGCTGGCACAGATGCATCCACTCCTTGTGACTTATGATTTCCAATGAAACTATATTGTTCTTCGTTATTACTATTCCTTTGTCTCACACCTCTGTTTACTGTCTCTCTCTACTATGCATTTCTTGTACTTTGTTCTGTTGCTTTGTGTGGTACATGGAGGGAGTGTGGCGATTTGAACTGCCGCACATATGTGTCCTATGTCGAAAACAGACAGACAGAAAGAACAATACAATTTTATTGGATACGGCTGACAAATCACTAAGAATGAATGCATCTGTGCACCATTGATAAGGATTTCAAGCTATATATATGTCTGGATTCAACATAGAACTTGGCACCGAAGTGCAGCAGTTCGAGTTGCCACGAAGCTATATATATACATCATTGATAGTCTTAAGGTAACAACCCCAAGCAGGAAGCCTATACCCTCCTTCCATGGTTGGCTCAGTCAAACAAACAGTCAAAGATTCTGATGGATTGATTCCACGCTTTGACTTGATCACCTCTACACTAGCTCTTTTCCAACCTGATTATCCTATGTCAGTTAACAATGTCCATCGAGGAAGGAGATGGCTACGAATGTGTAACACATTTCTTAATTGATTTCTCTATTGATACAGGTTGACTACCGCATCAAATGACTTTTTCTCCTTACCTAACACACTCAACACACCTAACCTCAATATTACTCACATCGATTGAGTTTGTTGGAGCATGATGATGTGTTGATGCGCATCAAGTCGTCACCTTTCCAGACAAGTAGTGTTGGTTGACCACACGAGAATACGCTGGAAAAGAGTTAGGTGAGACGGTGAGACAAAAGCACAGCATCAACCTATATATATAGTTTCTGAACATTGATTGGTATGAGCCACTTAGGGAGGCAGGTGTAGACCATTGTCTGTCTAGTTGGCGTTCCAGGGCTACTGGCGATCATAATGGTTGAAAATCGTTCAGAATAGCGCGCAAGTGCACAATCATACCTTATGATCTCCTGGATCCATTAAAACTTGACTATTCTTCACTCATTTATTATTTTCTTTGAACCTCGCCTAGCTAAATAGTTCCCCAGTTTTCTAGACGATCCTAAAGCCTAGAAGTGGGAAGGTGGAACGTGGAGTCAGCGACCCTACCCCCAGCAAATCAATCCAGTCAGTATATATAAACAAGCAGTAATCACTATCAACAAGAGATATTTGGAAGAGAGGAAACTGCTTCCACCTTATATTTCACCAGACGGCATCCTTACAACTACAGGTGAACTAGCACGAATGAGAATATATATCAAAGCTGGCCAGCAGTAAGAATCGGAAAGGCAAGATAGATCTCTTCATCATTAACTATGAAACCAGAACAAACAAAAGTATTCAGATTAATTTCAACACACACACACGTGGTTGGAAACTTGGCGATAGAGTCATCATAGAAACATTTTCAACAGCCTAACGTCGACTTTTATTAAAAAAAACAGCTGTCTTTACTCCATACTGAAGATCTGTTGGCTGGCCAGAAACTCTGGGAATGAACTAATCAATAACCTATCGCTCAAAATATACGCCGGAGAAAATGGAGATGGATCAGAGACATACTGATGAAGAGATCGATGGCCATCGATTGAGAGGGACGCGAATAGGAAACGATGATTTGAGCATGTGTCCGAGGCCAGCATAAAGGAGATCGTGTGAGACGGAAAAGATGAAAGTCTATGGGCAATCATGGGGTGTGATAAAGGGGACTGCAGAGAAGAGGACAAACTGAAGATGTGGTGCGGAAGCCCTGTGTTCCACTTGAAACCCAAGGGAATCTCATAGTCTGTCTGTCTGGATTCAACATAGAACTTCGCACCCAAGTGCACCAGTTCCAGTTGCCACGTCCCAAATAGCACACAATGGCAGACAAGAAGATGAGTGAAGAGAATCAATACAGTCTGACAAGTATAAGAGTGAAACAGAATGGGTAATGGTAGAAAGGAATATGAAAGATTACAGAGACTGAATACATCTGCACTGGCCATTGACAACGATTTTGAGCCATGTCACCGATTGTCTCCAGCCATTGATTCTTAGAGTCAGTCCCGAGGGCCCCAAACTGGAAGTCTGCATCTCCCTGACTACCTGAGTCAGTTTAACTGTCAAGGATTTCATGGATTGATGAGGCCATGTTTTTGTTTGGCCACCACTGGCTCTTTTCCAGTCATAGTAAAAATAATCGATAACATTTATGATGTCAATACTAGACGGTAGATCGAACGCTTCAATAAACATCAGAAATCAATAGTCACAGACTTTATAAATCGCTTCTACTGACACAAATCAACAAAAAATGCATACTCATACTACAAGGACTAGTTTTTGATGTGGTTTTGTTCTCTAAGCTGGATAGTTAATTCGCGAAGCTTTCATTGCCCTACTAGGCGACATCTTCAGCGCCCATACTTCAATTTGAGGTGAGCTTTAAGATCTCTCCTGGTGACCTTGGATGTGATTGATTGTCTTTGTGTGTTTTCACACCTTCTAGGCTACTTGTATTGGAACTGATTGTTTCTTTGACTTGAACTTTGACCCTTTGTGTGTGAGGTTTCTTCCTTTTATCGGTTGATCAATTTTGCCCATCTCGATGTGTCTATTGATTGATTGACGATTCAGTGGAATACCAGGCAGGCTTCTAAAAATTCTCTAGCATTCTTGTTGTTTCCTCTGTCTTATATTTGAACGCTGGTTGTCACAGTCGAATTGATGTCCGTAGTTGTCTGTGTGTAGTGATATGAGGGAGTGGATATCATGTCTTTTGACGGCTACCTTGTGTTCGTGGATACGAAGACGTAAGACGTAACATAAACTAGCCGTCACTCCACTCCCTCATATCACTACACACAGACAACCACGGACATCAATTCGACTGTGACAACCAGCGTTCAAATATTAGACAGAGGAAACAACAAGAATGCTAGAGAATTTTTAGAAGCCCACCTGGTATTCCACTGAATCATCAATCAGTCAATAGACACATCGAGATGGACAAAATTGATCAACCGATAAAAGGAAGAAACCTCACACACAAAGAGTCAAAGTTCAAGTCAAAGAAACAATCAGTTCCAATACAAGTAACCTAGATGTGAAAACACACAAAAACAACTAATCACGTTCAAGGTGAGCCACTAGGAGAGATGATTAAAAAACTCGTGGAGAAGTCTAAGAGCTCACTTCAATTCGAATTGAAGTATGGGCGCTGAAGATGTCGCCTAGTAGGGCGATGAAAGCTTCGCAAATTGACTATCCAGCTTAGGGATCACAACCACATCAAAATCATTCACCTGAGCTACAAATCTTCTCTATCATATCTAAGGAATAGTTTCCATATGTATAAGGGATTATGTGATAAGGTATTACTGTGCAAGCCTTAGACAGGCGAAAGATAACGCTTGAACTAGTGAATCAATCGGCCAGTCAGAGACTAAATACTATTATATCAAATTATTCACGATTATTGTTCGTTCTCTGCGTTTCACGTTGAATATAAGGAGCCCCAGAGGCACTAGGGTTCAGCTGGCTCCATACAAGACAACAAACCTTTCTTTTGACAAGATTTTCTTCATGCCAACACCCTACAACCCATGTTTAACTCATCGCTTTTTGCTTAGATGATCTGTCCACTGAAGCTCTGACCCCCCCGCTCCGGAGTTTATCCGGGATCCATTTTTTAATTTTTTCTTGCCACTAATAAACTAAATCTCAAAACAAAGTTAAAACGAATTGGAATTCTCGATAAGACATACTACTACTTACCGACATGAAGTACACTTTAAAGTTGGCAAAGGATGTTGTGATACATAACTGGCGATAGCTGAAGAAACACCTCTCCCGCCAAGAGTAGCTCGACGAGCTCCACGTTCAAGAGCACGTGCTAATAAATGCAATTGTGAAGTTGTATTCGCTTGTTCAACACTAGCACACCATCTCTGCCAACCTGTTGTTCTTATTGATTGTATATTATTTGTAGTATTAGAAGAAATTACAGTAGATGGATCAGTAGGCGTAGGCGTAGTCGTCGTAGTACTTTCAGAAGATGGAATCATTTCTGAAACTGTATTTTCGACATCATTGGATTGTTTACTTGGAATGCTAGTCAGAGGTCCTGCATTACGTAGAGTTCTTTCATCATTCGCTGTAGGAAAAAGTTGTATGCACAGATATAAAAATTAAATTACATTATGTTGTCTAGTAGGATAATGAAAAGTTCGCAACTAAGCACCATTCAGCCATGAGAACACACAACTACACAACTAGCCGATAAGGTATATATATATATATATATCTTCCCTGCTTGATTTGTTGTTTTTGCTAAATGTATAAACGGAAGGTTCGGGGGGTTCGATTCCCGGCAGCCAACGCACTCCTCTACCTCGCTAAACCAGTAACAACAAGACTGGTAAAGTGGGGAGGTCGGGGCATAAGGCTAACAACCTCCTCATATCCCGTAAATATAAACACCACTGTTACAAAAACTAAAAGCCTCCAACTTGAAGGCGCCCTTATGTTCCACTGGGAACGTAAAGGAATAAAAAATTAAAAATAATAAATGAATGGAGATTTCTAAATTTCATAAGATTTTGGCCTAATTGGAGGGGATTTGATTGATTGGTTACAAGATTTTATCATGATATACCATCAGTTGGAGAGAGAACCATTGGAAAACGTACAGGGAGGAGTACTGGACAGTTGTTTCGTTCCAGTTTTGGATTCTTCAACAGTACGCACCCACCGAGGCTCGAACCCAAGAGCTTCTGGTTACAAGCCGCGAGCTCTTAGAACATTAAAACACTGGAATGCGATCCAACGGGAAGCCCATAAATGGAGCTACCACTAGCAAGAATTCATCAGCTAGCCATTGGATCCGGTCCCAGTGGCTTAATGGTCTACGAGCTCAACGTGTAACCCAGAGGTCCTGGGTTCGGACAATGGCGATGGGTGCGTACTGTTGAAGAGTCTCAAAGTGGGACGAAACAGTATTCCAGTAATCCTTACAGGTTTTCCTCCAATGGTTTTCTAACCAATTTCAGCTTATAATGAAATCCTGTAATTAATTGAATTTATTGAATTTTCTCCATTTTCACACTATCTTCACTAAACATTGGGCGTGCTAAAAATTAAGCATTATACATCATCGGATTTCTGGTGAATCTTGGAGGAGATCATGTGAAGTAGAGATGAAAGTATGTGGGCAGACGTGGAGTCAGGTGATGAAAACTTAAGCAGAGAGTCGAACGCAGTGATGAGCCGCGGCTGTTCCTCTAGGAATTAAAGGAAACAATAATAATAAATAATAATAATAATAAGTTAGCAAACTCACCCAATGGTCCTGCAATTCCTTTTGGGCTAACATCATGGCCTAGATGAAGGAGTATTTTTGCAAGACGTTTTATATTTTCTTCGACACAGTGATTCGATGAGGATGTTGCTAATTCAGAAGGAGGAGGCTTAACAGGCATTTTAACATCAGCAGCAGTTGTAACAGTAGTAGTAGTAGTAATGGCACAATCTTCAGTTGTTGTAGAGGCGACAGCTGCATTCTCTTTTTCATCATTAGGTCTACACATATAAAGAGTATGAAATATATGCAGGAGAGAAATGTTATTCAATAAAGATGTACATGAATTCATTCCAAAAATAAACCTTCTTAATAAATAACACACTATGCTGGTTGGAGGATTTCATCACATCAGCTGACATCTGTTAGAGAATCATTGGAAAACCTGCAGGGAGTACGGATAGCTGTTTTCTCCTAGTACATGGGACTCTTCAACAGTACGCACCCAACGAGGCTCGAACGCAAGAGCTTCTGGTTACAAGGCAAGCTAGCTTTTAGACGACCATTAAGCCACTTCATTCAAAACACTATATGACAGAATAGCAAAATGATATAAATATTCCAGCTAAGACATGAAGAAGCATAACAAGACTTCTCACATCTACCTGTTCATCAATAGGGTATTATCATGACGGCAGCCAGAAATGATACAGCATATTTCTCTCTATATTAATATACGCTACTTCTAACTTCGATGAAGTTTCAGATCTCCAATAGCTAATGCTTCAGCTATGTACAGATGACGTATGAGAAGTCCCTTTGTATGATAGTGAAGTGATAGAGCACGTTGACCGCTTCACTTATTTGGGAAGTACCATCAGCCAACACCAACGGGTTGATCTCTGACGAAATCTCAGCACGAATACAAGGGGCTCGTTTCGCATTTGTCAGTTTACGCCGACTCTGGCGTAGACGAGATGTTCGACTATCGACCAAAGGGCGGGTGTACTGCTCATCAGTCCGCTCTGTCCTCCTTTATGGTTGTGAGACCTGGCCACTGAGAATGGAAGACATGAAAAGACTAGCTGTCTTTGATCATAGGTGCCTGCGTTCTATTTCCCGTGTAAAGTGGCATAATAAGGTGAGCAACATTGAGGTTAGGCGTAGAGTGCTAGGTAAGGAGGGAGAGGAAATCACTCGACGAGGTTGTGAAGTGACATTGACTGAGATGGTTAGGACATATGCTACGTATGCCAAGCCATCGCCTCTCTCGACGAGCTATGTTAGCGGATATAGGGTCAGGCTGGAAAAAAGCTAGCGGCGGTCAAACAAAAACTTGGCCCCACCAGTCAATGAAATCCACAACAGTTGGTCTAAGCCAGCCACGTAGGAAGGTGTAGACTTCCAGGCTGGGGTCCTCGGGACGGTAAAAATCTATGGTTGGAAACAATTGGTGACATGGCTCAAAACCATTCTCAGTGGCGCAGATGCATCCACTCCCTGTGACTTATGATCTCCAATGAAACTGTTTTGTATTTCTTTATTACTCCTTTGTCTCACACCTTTGCTCACTGTTTCTATTATGCTTTTCTTGTACTTTCTTCTCTTGCTTCGCGTGCTACACGGAATGTGGCGACTTGAACTTCCGCACATTTGTGCAAAGTTCTATGTCGAAAACAGACAGACAGTATGATATTCAGGGACACTGTGTATCACTGTGAAGCATTCATGTGGGGGTGCTCGATATCCGGAGATTACAAGGTATTCGAGGATCGAGCTGTTGCTATTCTTCTTTTCTCCTCTGACTAACCAAGCTGGAATACGTTTGTGAACATGAATGCTTCACACAGAGTCCCCCAATCTCGTACAAAGGGACTTCGGATGCGCCATCTGTACATAGCTGAAGCATTAGCTATTCGAGATCTGAAACCGGACCTCTGCATTCAAAAGCGATACATACATTCTCTTGCCCTACCATGGCCAGAGTAAAGTTCTTACTACAGTTGTCGTAAAGCATCACCGTCCGTAATGTCATAGAGTAAGGGTCTGTTGTCATATTCAACTTGATGAAGTCTACCACCGGTCACGACTTTTCACAAGAACTCTAGGAAGTTTATGATGCTGAACAGTCACAGTCCATTAATTGGCTGTGGAATATACAATTTTCACTACGGTAATAAACACCAAATCATATGTAGACAGACATTCTCGGAAGTCTCGAAACGACTACCGTTGAAGTTGTGCAACTATATCGTTTGAGATGACTAGAACATGTATATAACATTCGCATGCCATATCTGCTTAGTAACCTTCTTTTGAATCGCCTTTCTCTTTCTTTCTCTTATCTTTCTTTGTGTGATACATGCTTGGTGTGACAGATTGAACTGCTGTACATCTTCTGTGCAAAGTTCCACGATAAAACCAGTCGGTCAGCATCTCTATTCGTCCTACCATTTAATTGTTACTAGAGTGTTTACTCTATAATAGTTTTTGCCACTTGCTATTACACAAATAATCCCCTCTTTAGAAAGTATACGATACACTAATAGCAAATAGAGTGTTAAGTATAAGAAATAAAAGTGAAATTTTACAATTTCAACTTACACTACTTACAAACATTTAAGTAACATGTTAACTTTATACTAAGAAAACAAAACATTAAAAAAAATAGGTTAGGGAAACACACACATACTTGTCTACCAAGACTTCTGTACACAATTGTTCATCACTCTGTTCAGTGGTTTTAGTTTTATTCTCAATCGATTCTTTTTTAGATTTACACGATTCATTGAACAGTAGGCGTTTTATCAAATCTAATCGACCTAAACGATATCCAATACCGACAAGAGCTGTTTCTAGCCATGAACACATGATAGACTGAGTAATTGATTCAGTATTATTGCGTGCAGAGGAGAACATTTCTTGAGAAACCGTATTATTATTATGAGTAGTAGGAACAGGTGGGCTTTGAGGTGCATCCACTGTTGCCTATAAGGTTTAAAAGTTCAGAAAAGGATAACTGAGTTATCAATAATAATAATAATAACAATTATAATTTACTTTATTCCAAAAATACAGCACTTGTGACACAGAATAGAATTTTCAGCATTAATCACAATATTGCATAAAATTTCCTCACATATTATAAATAAAAATTATTCACACAGAAAATTTTCCACATTTACAATAGGGGTGGGTAATGTCAAAAACATGCAGCATATAAAATGGAAATAATAATAATAATGACAACAGCTAAAGTAATTAATTCCTTCACGTTCCCAGTGGAACATAGGTCTTCAAGCTACAGGCTTGAAGTTTTGGTAGCAGTGATGATCATTTTACAGAATGGGGTGGCTAGCCAGCCTCATGCTGGCCTAACCTTTCCTCTTTACTAGCTTTATTTCTGGCTTAGTGAGGTAAAGGAGTGTCTTATCGGTCGGGGATCGAACCCCGTGTTAACTACTCGTCGAGTAGTTAATAGTCCTGACACGGGAAGAGGGAAATCAGAAGACCACCTCGTTCACGATGATACTTGTATTTTCCAAACAAGGAAAATAATGACTGTCACACAAGGGTGAGTGAGAGTGAAGGGTATGTAGTGTACGAAATGTGTGAAACAAGTGTGAACAAGTATCCCAAAGTGTACAATGCAAGAGTATATATGAAAATGACTAATATACATGAACAAGGCATTAAGAAGACAAATTTCGCGAGATGATATCATTTCGTAGTTTCTTTACAACCGCTTTACAATATACATGAACCAATAGATAGATATCTTACCGTCATTGGATTCTGATTGGTTGTAATGTCATGTGATAAAAAGGTCATACACTGTTTATTTAGTTAATGGACAGACAATAGCATATTGTCAGTTATAATGGAATATTGATCCCTATACACATAGCAAAATATAACAGACTGTCAAAAGAAGGTAGACATCATGTGACTACATATCACCCCGGACCATGTGCACGGTCAGTGAGCGTCCTAACCACTGTCTGTCTGTTTTCGACATAGAACTTTCCACCAATGTGCACCAGTTCACGTCGCCATACTCTATGTAGCACACATAGTAAGAGAACAAAGGCATAATAGAGACAGTAAACAGAGGTGTGAGACAAAGGAAGAGTAATAACGGAGAACAAAACAGTTTCTGTGGAAATCATAAGTCACAAGGAGTGGATGCGTCTGCACTAGCCACTGAGAACGATTTCGAGCCATATCACCAATTGTTTCCAACCATTTGTTTTTACGGTCCCGAGGACCCCAACCAAGAAGTCTACATCTTCTTGTGTTTTGATTTGACCGCTGCTAGCTAGCTCTTTTCCAGTCTGACCTTGTGTCACCTAATATTGACCGTAGAGGAAGGCGACAGATGGCTAGGCATACGTAACACATGTCCTAACCATCTCATTCAGTCGACGTAATTTCACAGCCTCGTCGATTGATTTCCCCTCCTTACCTAGAACTCGACTGAGGCCTAACATCAATATTTCTCACCTTATTATACCACTTCACACCGGAGATAGAACGCAGGCACCTATGATCAAAGACAGCTAGTCTTTTCATCCATTCCACTCTCAGTGGCCAGGTCTCGCTCACAGCCATAAAGGAGGACGGAGCCGACTGATGAGCAGTACACCCGCCCTTTGGTCGATAGCCAGTCGAATATCACATCTACTAAGCCAGAAACGGCGTAAACTGGCAAATGCGAAACTAGCCCTCTGTATCCTTACTGAGATTTCGTCAGAGATCAACCCGTTGGTACTGGCTGATGGTACTTCCCAAATAAGTGAAGTGGTCAACGTGCTCCACCACTTCACTCCCTATTTCTAATCTAGGAGTCGGTGTAGTCCAGTCCTGTTACTCCATCATCTTACATTTGACAAAGGGAGCGAATCGTATGCCAAAAATTCGTAGATTGCAGCTCAAGGTGTTCAGAAGACCCTGCTCTATTATGTCAGCGTCCTCACCTAGAAGGACTATATCGTCTGCATATTCAAAGTCAACGAGATTATTCCTTGGTAGCAAGTCAATCCCTGATTCTCTGGAGGGAGTAAGGGTTAAATTCATTAGTACATCTATGATGAAGTTGAATAGAAAAGGAGATAATGGGCATCCCCGACAGGCACCACTAGTCATCACCAGTTCAGATGACAACTCGCCGTAAGACTTCACCTGGCTGTATGAGTACGAGTAGAGTGCCTTAATCAGTGCAATATATTTTCTCGGAATTCCCTTTACAGCCAAGCATCTCCAGAGAACTTCTCTATCGACAGAGTCGAATGCTGCCTTTAGGTCAAGAAATATAATGACTGTTGGACGCCGGTAGGAATTCCTATGTTCTAGAATCTGTCGGAGGGTGAAGATATGATCAATACACCCTTTTCCTGGCTCTCTCGTGTTTGTTCCTCCCGAGCACCACTTAGTCTACGCAGGACTTTAGATACTATATTAGTCAAGCTAATCCCTCTGTGATTATCACAGTGGGACTTGTCTCCCTTCTTGTATATGGGGATAATCAGTGACTTACACCAACCCAACGGGACTTCCTCTGATTCCCAGACGCTGCCTAGAACCTCAGTTAATCAGACAGTAAACTGTCTCTACCGTACTGAAATACCTCTGGAGTCATTCCATCAAGTCCTGCTGCTTTGCCTAGTTCCAGATTGGTGACAGCTTTAGAAACCTCAGTTAGGGAAGGAGGACCTGTGTCTATATCCCATTCGGGTGTGTGCTGGATGCCGGGGAGGTTCAGTGTGGCCGTAGGCAGGTTAAATTGTTCCTAACCACTGTGCCACCGACGCACCATCTAGAATGCACTAGATGAAAAAAGGTGAGTTAATTCTTCCCTGACACTATTTTTATCACATTAAAATACGTGACAAGTATGGTATCATAGAATTTCTATACTTCGAGGTGCGAGCATACAGTTTGTATATATAGTGTGATAAATAGCTAGCTGTCTGATCTGAAGCATAACTCAGGAACAGTTATTTCATGTATCACGGATTCGTTGTCAACCTGAGAATTCACACATTGTAAACATTTTAAACACTCAGAAGAGGTAACGGGAGAAGACGAAAGACTTCAGTAAAGGAATGTTTATTTGCATTCCGGTATCTCTATATAGTTAGTCAAACTATCTCCACCGTATCTTCAACACACACCAGAGATCTTCCGTGTTTTCCAAAAGATTTAACAGTAGTTCACATGATTACCTCATTGTCCACATTCATGGATGGGATCCCATGGACGACTTGGTGGGTAGTCTTCAGTTTTTTTTTCTCTAAGTGCTTTAATATGGCCACACGTTCTTAGCCTCTGTCAGGTAGTACGTAGTCGTATTCCACTGCATTCACACAGGTCGCGGGTGTTCTTCACATAAAGTGTAGGAGTGAATGCGAACGTTTGGAACTTACAACCAGTGGTGGACATGTCAGTGTACCTAGCGGAGATGTATCTCATCGACTTAAGCTATCGGTTTTCAGCTTATAATGGTCACGGACTCGAGTCCCACACAGTGAAATAGGTGTTGTCATTAGTCCTCGTACGATAAAGTGTGCCTTTTACTCTGGTACACCAAAATGTCATTCCAGATAATTGAGCTCGAAACAGAAAATCCTAGAAAAGAGCTGGGAAACGCAGATACTAAACCCATGGTGTATACAGGCTCCAGAATCCAAATGGATTTGAATGGCAAATGAACCAAATTCGGTCACCAGAGCCTGCTGGATCAGAATTCAAGTTAAAGGCTTGGAGGGTAACTACTTTAAAAACAACCACCTCCTTCAGTCTGAACGTCCGGGCAGTAGCCCATGGTGTCATTAATAATGCAAGCGGTTTGTGTTTTAATAACAATCGTAATAGAAGAAACGTTTACACCAGAGAGGTATACCAACTGATCACAACGACCTACACGCAAAGTGGTCCACGTGGTTTGAACGATTCATCCATCAAAAATAATTCGATTCAACACTAAATCCACACATTAACATCCACATTAAGCACGAACTACACTTGCAAACACATTTCTCGTCCCAGGTTCGAGTCCCACTCCACACAATGAATGTTGCGCTCACAACAGTCTTGTACATGACAAAAAGCCTATCCCCAGTAATGCATGTGAGATAAACGAGTCGAAAACACTCAGATTAGGTAAACAATCGTTTAGATCACTGCTTCAACATGGGACTAGTGAGTAATGCTAGTTGATTTTGGTAAATAGGGTGACAATTGGCTGGCTTCCAATTGTAAGGAAGACAAGGACAATGAGGCTCAAAGGAATGTTTGTTTGGAGAAATTCATGTTATAGGTACATAAATTTGGTGTACCATAATATCTCCAATGCTTTACTTGCCGAACATTGGCGAATTGGTTGAATATTACCCCCATTCGAATACTTGTTGTTGATTCTGCACAGTGTTTCTAACGTTCTGATTATCACATTTCTGTTCTTCGATTGCTTCTTCCGTTGTGTTGGCAACATATTGATGCTTTTCTGAACTCGCTCACTGATATACTACTTATATCTGATTATAAGTGGCATTCACCACAAATCATCACTACTCATATGGAGGGAAAGAGGTCGAGACATATGATTAGGCATAACTTGATGAGACACTTTCGTCAAATGATATAACACATCAGACAGACCCTCCCCATTGGAGCCCTTACACCCCAATGGGAAACAAAGAGCTGGGTGTTCAGAGGAAAAACACAGAGGAAATGAAAGTTTTTAGGTCATCGTAAGGCCAGTTCATCCATATATAGGTCAGAATTTTGACGAAAGGCATTCGAACATAGTATGGCAAACTTTTGACAATAACTGATTTCGACGGCTGCGTACTGAAGATCACATCGCTGACGGGCTAGAAACAATTAGCAACAAGAAACTTTGGAAACTAACAGCGAATCAAGAACCTATTGGTCAACAAATATGCCGGCAAAGAAACGGAGATGGATCGACCACATGCAGACCATCACTCGAGTCGAAGCCGAATAGGAAATGACGACAAGGGGAATGTGCCCAATGGTGAAATGGAGGAGACTATGTGACTTTGAGGAGGTAACAGCTAGTGAGGCAATCGTAGGAGACACAGCTAAAGACAACCACAGAGAATAGAACAAAATGGCAGTGTGATGGCAGAACACAAGGGAACCCAGTCAAAAATCATAAAACACAAAATGATTACCTTTTCATTGAATCCTGACTGGTTACTTTTTATCATTGGATATATCAATTCAGGTGGACACATAGCAATCACTTTAATAAGTAATGGTCTTAACTGTCCAATAGTTTTACGTAATCGTGATTCACGAACTCCACGAGGATTTAAGGATGCCTCTAAGCAGTCAATAGTCCATTTAGCTTGTTCAATCAGCATATTATATTGATTTTTTTCAGCTGATAAATTATCATTACGATGATTGTCATTATTCAAAGTAGTAGTAGTAGTAGTATGTTCTTTACTCTCCGATCCACTGGAATCAGTAGTTGTAATCGTAGTGGTAGGACAATCTTCTGACTTCTTCACAGTTGTTGCAGTAGACAAAGAACCATCCATCGTGGGCGGTAAAGAAGATTCAACAGGTGATGAAATAGGATTAACTGCCTGTTGCTTCTTTATATTATCATTGTTATCATGCAATAGCTTTTGCTTATACACCTCTTTATATCCATCAGGTAGGAGAATTGACCAAAGCGTTTGAGGTGTTGATTGTTTCACAGTGGAACAGCGTAATTTAGCTAATTGTCTAACAGCAGGACATGTATTATGCAAAGATGAATCCTGTGTACTGACACGTTCCTAGAGTTTAGGTGATAAGAAGAATAAGTTTGAAAAAATAAAAAAAAGTTTTTGTGGATAATTTGAACGAAATGAAACATTATTTTAACACAATGAAATATTTATGATATCAAGCTTCTTGTATGATCGTTAGCTGCCTGTCTGCTTTCACCACAGAGCTTTGCATCGATGTTCAGCAGTTTAATTAGCCATACTCCCTCCAATTAGCAATCAAAGGGAGAGAAGAAAGTAGAAGAAATGCATAATAGAGACAGTAAACACGGATATGCAACAAAACGAATAGCATTATCGAAGAATAATATAATTTTATTGGAAATTATAAATCACAAGGAGTGGATGCGTCTCCGCCAGCCATTGACAACGATTTTGAACTATATCACCAATTGTGTCCAGCTGCCATTGCTTTTTACCACCCTCCCGAGGACCCCAAAAGGGATAAGAAGTCTATACCTTCCTACGTGGCTGGCTTAAGCTAACTGTTGTGGATTCCATGACTAGTGTGCCATGTTTTGGTTTGACCAACACACTAGCTAGCTCTTTTCCAGCCTGACCCTATGTCAGTAAACATTGTCTGTTGTCGAGGGAAGTGATGCCTAGGCACATGTCCTAACCATCTCAGTCAATGTAGCTTCACAGCCTCACCTATTGATTTCCCCTCTCTACCTAGCACTCAACGCCTTACCTCAGTATTATCGTTACATTGTACACTTTGATCATCTTCTACAAATAATACAACTTCTTGGAGGCGATTTAATACTCGACTTTTTCGGTTAGTAAGTTCCTAAGTTTGAATTTTAGTCAAATTACGGCAAATCACACACTGAGTGCCAAGACAGCATATCACACTACTAACCGTCACGTAATATAGGTGTGCATTCATAGCCTCATATGCATAAAAATTTTGGTGGGTGTGGGTGATATCAATGAAATTATCCAACAAACTAACGCTTGGGACACACGCACACACATACATACATACAAATACTTACCGGTTTAACTAAAGCTCTTAACTGTTCAATTGGTAAACCGGTTGCCGACGAAACAGATGGATTTGGTAGTGCTGCTACAACACGATAGGTTAATTCTTCTCTATCTATAAATTCACTGTCTTTCACAGAATTGATTGCTTCACGTAAATGTTTACCAGCCTCTTCAGAACTGTACAGTCCCATTCTTTTAGCAAGATCAGGAAAAGCGTAAGCGATTTGACGATTACGAATTGTAGCATGTGTATAGTAGGGATTTTTATCGACACATGGACAATCTTCGATTAGAATACATGGTATTGATAGGACTAGCCAATATTGTCTGTAAAGTGGAATCAGAATACAATTGGTGTAATAGAGATTAAAATTATAAAACATATTGATACATCAAAAATTTCGTAAGAACTCAAAGCTGACACGTTTCAATAAACGCAAGTGTAAGCATAGAACTACTTACACAGTATATTATACTCTGTGGCGCCTTTCGAATGAAGAACAGTTGAGTTATATATATATATATATATATATATATATATATATATATATAAGTGAGCATCTCTTGGTGCCCTTTGAATGGTGGTGTTCAAGGGATGAGCTAAAGACTCAAGATATTACAAGATATGGCTAAGAAGAATTAAGAGATCAGTGGCAATCACACTGAGATTTCCTCATTCCCTTTCTTTTCTAATAATTAACATAAGGGGATGAATGATGGATTAAATACTCCTCTTTTCATGAAGCTATAATCGATCTTCAAACATACCACTTCTTTCGCATATATTGTCTTCGTGTGGTGTATTTTTGGCTGATCAAATTGGTTGCTCACAATTACTATTGAGTTCTGAGTGAAACAAACGGATGATGGATTCAACAGCGCACATCGCCTTTTTGTTAAGTTTTCTACAGCCCGACGTGATGGTCGGGCTTGCACATCGTGATGACCCAACAAGCTAGACTGGTTGGAACTATTCTTCCTGCAGGTCCTTCCATGCCAGGAAGGTTGGTAGGATAGCGATTAGACTAAAAGCAGTTACCACCATTGTGTAAGAATCCTTCGTTTTTTACACTATGCTGGGGGGTCTGTGGGCGAAGTCGTACAGCCGCTGGAGAACAGGGATGTAAGAGCAGTGAGGTGTTTCCCTAAGATGACCAACCAGCATGCCAGCCAGGTATGCTGTCTCTCCACTCCGGAGAGAGGGGGCTAGAAAACGTCGACTTACCCTACGGTGGTCGTTAACCAGAGGTAAGTTTACTGATACAGAACCAAACCGAGAGACAGAAAATGGGGAGAGTGGACATCCCTGTCGGACACCACTGGTTGTTACCAATTCAGATGGCAATTCCCCATAAGCCCTTACACGACTTTGTGAGTTTGAATAGAGTGCCTTGATTAGTGCAATGTACTTTCTTGGCACTCCCTTCACAGTCAGACATTGCCATAGTACCTTTCGATCCACGGAGTCGAAAGTCGCCTTCAAGTCAAGAAATATGGCAATTCAAGTGTTGGTTTGTAGGGATTTGATTGGTTACAGGATTTCATCATGAGCTGACATTAGTTAGAGAACCATTGGAAAACCTGGGAGTACTGGATAGCTGTTTCGTCCTAGTTTGGGACTCTTCAGCAGTACGCACCCACCACAGGGGATTCGAACCCAGGACCTTCCGGTTACAATGCGAGCTCGTATACCATTAAGCCACTGGGACCCGATCCAATGGTCCTTGGATTCTAACTTCTGCCAATTCACGACATAGCGCGACCGCTAGCCAATGTCTTCGGCGAGTATTTGTCCTCACACCCGACCAGCTGCACCCTACTGGTCACGACTTCCCACTGGAAACCAGAAGTTAGAATTCAAGGACCATTTGGATCGGGTCCCAGTGGCTTAATGGTATACAAGCTCGCCTTGTAACCAGAAGGTCCTGGGTTCGAATCCCGGTGGGTGCGTACTGCTGAAGAGTCCCAAACTAGGATGAAACAGCTGTCCAGTACTCCAGGTTTTCCAATGGTTCTCTAACTAATGTCAGCTCATGATGAAATCCTGAAATATGGCAATTGTTGGACGCCAAAAAGTGTATCTGTGTTCTATAATCTGTCGAAGAGTGAAGATATGATCTATGCACCCTCTACCTGGTCTAAGGCCTGCTTGATTTTCCCTAGTCTGTTCCTCCCGAGTTCTGCTTAGTCTATGCATGATTACTGAGCCTAGGATTTTAGAGACTATGTTCGTTAGGCTGATCCCCCTATGATTATCACACGAGTACTTGTTTCCCTTCTTGAATATCGGTATAATAAGTGACTTACCCAGTCTGATGGAACTGTCTCTGATTCCCAGACTTTGCCTAGTACCTCAGTTAATCTACAAACTAGTATGTCACCCCATATTTAAACACCTCCGGAATAATTCCGTCGGGTCCTGCCGCTTTGCCTCGTTTCAAGTTACGGATAGCTTTTGTGACCTCACTTACAGACGGCGGACCAGTGTCTATATTCCATTCGGGTGTGTGCTGGATGTCGGGGAGGTTCAGTGTGGGAGAGACCAGTTCATAGAGACCGTGTGTGAACGGCCAGCATCAAGTAATTGTCCCTGGGCTCTGCGGTCACACAACACTAACCCTCTTTTTGTTTCAGGTACCCGAAGAATTAACCAACCAACTTCCACGGTGTGGGGTAGTCGGGAAGTAACAACCGCCTACACACTTCAAAAAGTACACGAAGCCTCCCCGAGCATCATTATGTTCTCCACATTTCACTTTATCTGGTTTTTATCCCTCATTAAAGACAATTTTCTTCATATCACCTTCAAAACCTCAACCAACTCGCTGCTCCCATTCGACTTCCACTAGACCGACGACCCGCATTTCAATACAATGTCATTCAATGGTCTTATGAACGTGTGTCCAATGTCCAATGATTCATCACGATTTTCGCCCATATATTTGTTGAACAATAGGTACTTGCCAGTTTTTTGTTGTTGCTTCTTTCTAGTCATCTCGTTTTGCAGTATGGAACCAGTGAAAGCAGGTGTTGATGAAAGTCATCAGTAGCTTTGTTGCTAATACTTTTCTTAACGCGCCAATTCACACACACACACACTATAGAGGAACTAACTTAACACTGACGTTGAAAAAGCCAAATTTTTGTATCCATTATGCTGAATGCAGCGTAGAAGATTTCTGAAAACTAATTCCAACATGATGAAGATGTCTGTTTTGCCTATCCAATCCTATCTAGCTTCCAACTTGTCGGTTTTCGCCTGTCTACCTGCCTACCTTTAAGTCTTCAATGTTAGTAGCTAACACGGCCACCTCTAGTGAAAAAGACTTACTTAATTTACTTTACTTCGGCTATCTCCTACGGGAGGATGAGCCGGCTTCATGAACCATGAAGTTTCATGGGAATTGGGTACGAGTGATGTCCCCAGAATCGCTCGGCCTTTGTTTGAGAGTGCAGCTCTAGCCTTTACACAACCAAGTGTAACCTACAAGGCAGTAGGAGTGGAGTAGGGAGTCCACTATCCATTGGCAGCCGGTGACCGGAGTCCGGTTCATACGCCTTTTTGAATGGGGCCAGTCATCCAAGGCATCCAATAAGCCCTTTGTCCATACATCTGCCGGTGAGCTCCGGTGAGCTTCAAAGGCCAGTCATTGGAGGTTTGGAATCAGGGTTTAGCCATCTCCCCTAGACTGTCATCCAATGGACAGTCAACCCGGTGAAGAGCGCCGGGCATCCGCTTTTGCCCTCTCACTTTGGTGAAAAACACCTCCGCCACGTGAAGGCAGTGAGTAGGACTTCCTCAGGAGAGGCTATGTAAGATGCCCGGTCATATGGAAGCATTTCAAGAGGTGTATGGAGGGGTGGCCAACCCGCAGCGCAAGACACCCACCCCCGACCATCCTGAGGCTTTGGAGGCAGTGAAAAAGACGATGGTTTGACATGCGTACCACGCTTACTAGGCCAGATCAATCAAAATAGCTTTTCACAACAGACTTATCGATCGGTTTGCCTTCCTTACCGCCTTACATTCTACCACGTAACCTCAATATTAACTACTCATCCCACATTATGACACTTGAAAATAACTTAATTGAACTTTAGATTTTCCCATCGTTTGATTGGACCGACGTGTTCAGTCCAATCAGGTTGACATGCTGGCTTCACTGGGCAATGCAGGTACATCCAGATGATGAGTCCCAAATACGACGAATCCATCAATTAAATTCTAATGACAATATTAATCAAAAAGAGTTAGCCTTTTCATTATATCTTCAACTTTCATTGGTTATATCTCACAACAGTTATAAAGAAAAAGGACAGAACGAACTGTTGGATGCGCCATCACCTCCTTTGATGGGTGATAATACATGGTTATGAATTAATGTCTACGCGCAGAGATAAGGCGCACTGCTAACTATGATAAGATGAAGGATATTTAGAATAATCCGCAAATATTATAATGCGTTAGTATTATTGCCTCTTCCATATTAGTTTGTTTATTAGGTGTATCACACAGTGAGTGAAACAGTATTAGTATTTACTGGATGACAAAGTTTCGAACACAATTTATCAATGTTCATAATCATTTCATCAATTATAATCACACGACTTTGAAACTTGGGTTTTAAAGCTTTCTTTGTCTTCTCTTATTTGTCGTAGGGGTTGTACAATTTTACAGATATCTTGGTGGATAGGTGTTGAACCATTCCTATGACATGTATTTGCAGTTGATTCGATAAACAAAGCTTCTGTTATCAATCTCTCCCTCCACCCAGCTGTTACATTAGATTTTAAAACTGTCATCCTATGCCATCCAGCCTATTGTGTGGTTGTGTGTAACTGCATGTAGTGAGTGGTATAGCTGAACTATTCTCTAGATTTCTTATGTTATTCGGATCAACCAACCTAGATTTTACTAGGTTATTATGCTCAGCTAGTCTGACTGTCCCTGTTCTACTAGTTTGACCTATGTATTTGACCTGACAGTCATTCAAGCAGGATATCAGACTGGTTGACCCAAATAAGATAAGAAATCTAGAGAATAGTTCAGCTATACCACTCACTACAAGCAGTTACACACAACCACAAAATAGGATGGATGGGATAAGATGATAGTTTTAAAATCTAATGTAACAGCCGGGTGGAGGGAGAGACTGATAACTGACTGAGGCTTTGAATATTGAATCAACTGAGAGAGGATACATGTAATAGGAATGATTCAACACTTGTCCCAGATATTTGGAAAATTCTGCTAACCAAACGACGACATATAGGAGACGACAAAGAAAACCATAAAACTCAAGTTTCAAAGTCGTGTGATTATAATTGATGACAAGATTATGAACCCCAATAAATTGTGTTCGAAACCTTGTCATCCAGTAAATAATAATACTGTTTCACTCACTGTGTGATACATCTAATAAACAAACTAATATGGAATTTTCAAAAGAATGGATACTGAACAAAGAGTACTCTTTTCGATAACCCCTTCATCATCAGGCTCTACATTTATACATACATTATAGTGAATGAATGAATGAATTAGTGTTATGAACAACATTAATGTTGCTGTTAAAATAACATCGAATCAATAATATCAGTTGATTACAGCTCAAGAGCATCAACATAAAATGAGACGAATGTCAGAAGAATTAGGAAGGATAATATTACAAATTCATGAGTTTATAAATTCTACGGAAGGCCACGGCAATAGTAGGGGCTGGACTTGCTTCTTTTGGATACAGAGCACTGGTTGTTTGAGGCGAATCGCAATAGCTTCTGCTGTTTGGAGCCTGCGGTGCTTCGATGTTTTTGGTAATTTATTTGGCACCCGGTATAATATGGAGGATTCTTCTACGCTGGCTTTGTGGCCCATTTGCACCAGACGTTCCAATATCGAACTGTTGATGATGTTTTCACTACACCTTTACTTAGCCATACTGGGAGATGTTCTCGAGCACGAAAAATCAAGTCCCTAGAGCAACAGCCAATATAACTCGCTCCACAAGCGCAGTTGAATTGGCAGATACAATTTGAAATGTCTAGTCTAGGTACTTCATCTTTCAGTCGAGGTAGCACCATCGGTCGTGTAGAGAATAAGACGTGTAGTTCGCCAGCAGTAAAAGTTCTTTGAACTGATTTTAATGGGGATTTTTAATCAGTTAATATGAAATTACTTACTACAACAGTGCGCAAGTTTTATACACATATATTATTATTATTATACTTCTTCACAATTACTAAAGTACACTAGAATAGATGAATAAAACACAAAAATGAATAGTTTACCTATAAAATCTATCCTGTCCAAGTGGTATCATTGAACAGCCACGTGAAACTTGTGTAATAGCATCCAACAGCTTTTGCTCTTCTAACAGTGATTCAATGAGTTTTTCATTAATATTATTAGGAGTACATGATGATGACGTTCCAGAAGAGGATGCTGATGTGGCAGCGACACCAGCGGTAGCAGCAGCAGCTGAATCTACTTCTTGACGATTATTATTATTATTATTATTACTCAATCTTCCATTGATCATTGCATAATCATTACTGGAAAAGGAAGGAAAATAGGAAGAATGTAATTGGTCACTGAGGGGGGGTGCGTCGGGGACTTCCAATGACCGCTCTAACTAACTGATGCCGGTTTATGAGGAAGATCTAACAAACACAGAAAAAACTAGTATAAAATCCCTCCACACACACACACACAAATTGTATAATCTGAATATCATTTCATCAGCCAACTTCACGGATGACTACTAATGGATGGATGGATATCCGAAAAACTGCTGCTGCACTTACTGCCAATCTATGACCAGTGGATGCTGGTCGAAGGCACTGGCTGACAGCAGCGCCAAATCACATGAGTTGGAAGCGTTCGGATTCAGAGGTTATGGAATTCCTGTCTAATTAGCTGAATGATAAATAACCTTGGTTCCTAGCGGTGGCAGGGTTTTGGGTTCGCGCTCCACTCAAAAGTCCGAAAAAAAGGACTGTCTCCTACCTACTCTTTGGTTTTCAATGACCTCAGGAATTGATGTCATCGATTCATGAGGGAAATTCGAAATCCTCACAAATCTTATAATAAGTGGAAGTGTTAACTGATTCATTTTTTCCTAGAACTCAGTTGTTGACTGATTAGGTTTCCAAACGTAGAACTTTGTACCGATGTGCAACAGCTCGAGTCACTACACACTACCTCCTTTTAGCACACAAAGCCAAAGAAGAAATTGAAAAGAGCAGAGAGAGTAAAAAGAAATGTGACGCAAAGAGAGTAGTAATATCCAAGAACCATATAGTTTCATTCGACATAATAAGTGGCAACGAGTGGATGCATCTGCGCCAGCCATTAAGAACGAGGATTTGCAGCCATACCACCGATTATCTCCAGCCGCCATTGACTTTTACCGTCCCAAGGAGCCAACCAGGAAGTCTACACCTTCCTACTACATGATTGGCTTAAACTAACTGGTATGGATTTCATTGACTGGTGGCATGTTTTGGTTTGATTACCACTAGCTCTTTTCCAGTGTCTGTAAGTATGGTATGTGCTTTGCGCCGTCTAAGTGTAAAGTACTGTTACAAGATTGGCAGGAGTCTGTACCTGCACTCACTTTTGCGGGTGAACCGATTGAAGTTGTTGATAGGTTTGTGTACCTGGGTAGCTTTGTGACTGCCGGCGGAGGGGAGACGGATGAGCTTTCCGACCGTATAATGAAGGCTAGGGTGGTATACATCAAATTCAACCACCTCTGGCGCCGTCGTGACAGTACCCTGGCTGTCAAAGGTCCGGTATACAATGCTTCGGTGTGGGCTGTCCTGCTCTACGCCTGTGAAACCTGGCCTCTCCGAGCTGAGAATGCACGGTGGCTCTGCATATTCGATCATCGCAGTCTCCGCAGGATTGCTTGACTTCAATGGCGTCATCGCGTAATTCTGAGGTTCGGCGGCGTGTGTTTGAACACAACGAAGATCACCATTCGTTGAATGTCGTCATCTGGAAACACCAGCTTCGGTGGCTTGGACATGTTCTCCGAATGTCATCTCAGGGGCTTCCGTACAGGTCTCTCTTCGCTAGATGGAGAAGGCGGAGGGGTGGTCAGTCCATGACGTGGCATAGTGGGATGAAGAATATTTGTGCTAGATTAGCATCGGTTGGTGCGTCACGACTCCCTGGTCGGGATCCGCGAGATAGCTCGAAACGTTATCGGATATGGCCAAGAATCGTAGTCATCAATGGCGAACGTGTTGCAATTTCCTTCTTTCTTCCCTTCCCGATGATAGTTAACGAATACTGTTTGAACTTGTTAAGTATGACTGTGTTTTCCTTCCAGATGAAGTTCTTTATCCGTTCTCTACTTATATTTTTACTTTTAACCTATGTTGTTTTATTATTATTATTATTATTATTATTGAGTGGCGCATTTTTCCTTGGTGCCATATTGTACCACTTTTTTTTCTGCGTTTAAATAAATAATAAACCCCATCGATCCTATGTTAGCTAATATTGACCGTAAAGGAAGGCGATCGATGGCTAGGCATGAGTAACACATGTCCTAACCACCTCTCAATCGATGTAACTGCTTCACAACCTTGTCGATTGATTTACCCTCCCTCCCTACCTAACACTCGACTAAAGCCTAACCTCTCTATATTGCTCACCTTATTATACCATCTAACATGGGAGATGGAGCGCTGCTACTGAAACTTGATAGCTCTACTAACCCTTCAGTTTTCTGTGTTACTGCTCGAAACACAAAGGAACAAAAGAAACGAAAAGTAAAATCAGTGATGTGATTAGAAACTTATGGTTCAATTTATTCAATTATAATTCCCCCCCCCTCCCGAATGGTTGGTTGGACAAGAATGTCCAGCCCTCCCCCCCCCACCACCACCACACTACCCAACTAAATAATCCGTAAACATCGTCGAACCGCCCGTCGTACTACAAGCCAACATGTCGACAGAGGTCAAACATATCAGCGGGAAAACAAGAGGTGGGTGGTGACTTTCGTGACCCAAGTGGTCTGTCTAGTGATGAATAACGCTTTGAAGCTTGAAACGATTATGTGAGCATCGATCGGGTAAGACAGTCTCAACAGGGACACATCATCACTCTCATTCACCGGGGAATACAGATAGATACATGCCGATGAAGAGTCTTCGGAATGGGACGAAATGCACATCTTAGCTAGACATCCCAACTATCAAGCATTACTGTATGATTAGAAATTGACTATTTAAGTATTTAACAAAATACAAGCTTGGAATGTCGGTCGCCTCTCTATCTCAACTTCATCGATTTTGAAAAGGCCTTCGACAGCGTCGATCGAGAGGTCATTTGGCAACTACTTCGCTACTACAGGGTTCCACCGCCGACAATTATACATTTCATCCAACAGTTATACGACAATGATGTATGCCGCCAAGTAATCCACAACTGGAAACTCACGGAATCCTTCACAGAAGTGAAGACGGGAGTGAAGCAAGGCTGTCTACTATCGCCAATGATCTTCCCCCATTGGGGTAGATTGGATAATGTGACAGACAACGGGCAATGAAGAAACAGGCATTAAATGGACTCACACAAAAAACTTGGAGAATCTAAACTTCGCCGATTATATGTGTCTGATTTCCCACAAACTGGGAGATATGCAAGTGAAAAGCAGCAACAAGTTAGCAGAAGAAGCATCACAGATAGGAATTCCTTCAGGTGAACATAGAGAAAACAGAGGTGATGAAGATTCCTGGCAACACCAACAGCCACAGAAACAACAACGACAGACAACAATCAGCCAGCATAAATGGGAGGAACCTCAAAGAAACAACCTTTACCTACCTGGGAAGCATCGTCTCAACTACAGGCACACGAAACTGACGAGGATATCAAAGGCAGAATCGGAAAAGCAAGACAGGCTTTCACTACTCTTAAGTCTGTGTGGAGGTCAATAGCATTCAGCATCAAAAATAACATCCGGATTTTCAACTCCAATGTGAAGTCAGTGCCACTTACTATACGAATCAGAGACTTGGTGAGTCATAAAAAGCATCTCCAACAAACTTCAGACCTTCACTAACAGTTGTCTTCGCTCAAAACCACTCAAGATCAGATGGCCAGAAAAGATCAGCTACAGGGATCTCTGGCAATGAGCGAACGAACCAGGAACCGATTGTGAAACAAATAGGTAGGAAGAAATGGAGGTGGATTGGATTGGCCATACTCTGAAGAAACCAACCATCAAGTGACATCATTAGACAAGACATTGCTCGAGTGGAACCCGAAAGGGAAGCGGGCGGCGAGTTGGTCGTCAGTGTGAGGGTGACTTGGAGGAGGTCATGTGAAGAGTAGATGAAAGCATGTGGGCAGACTTGGAGCGGGGTGAAAAAGTTGGCAGAAAACCGAAGGCAATGGAGGTGCGCAGCTGAAGCCCTATGTTCCTCTAGGAATTAAAGGATATAATAATAATAATAATAAGTTTCGTAAAGTTAATGCATAGAAGTACTTACTCTGATAAAAATGTTTCTAAAGGTGTATTCATTGATTCAATTTGCACATTTTTACGACTTAATGGACGACCTCTTCCTCTGTTCACTCGTCCACCTCTAAGCACGTTAACCGATGCCGCAGTAGTAGTAGGAGTAGGAGTAGTGGTTGTAGTAGAAGCAGCCGTAGTAAGATGAGAACGTCCATCATTATTTGCAGAATTTAACTTTTTTATTTGTGACAAAACTTCTTGATTATTATTATTATTAATATTATCTTCATCAATAACAGGATTAGAAGTCATTAACTGAGCTCTATCCATTTGTAAAGTCCGTAATTGATTACGTAATAAACGTACACGTTCATATTGATCTTCCATACGTTCACGAACTTGTGGTTGAAGTAACAATTCATCCATTAAACATGTGAGTAAGACTAATTTCTCGTGTGGAGTTAATTCATAAACTGTTACTGAAAATATATAAAAAAAACACAAAAGGTTCAGCAATAAAATCAACATATTTTTTTGTCTTTGATTGGACATTAGTCACTGATTAGTGTTCACTTAAAAATATCCACAACACAGCTTACAACACGAGGTCAATCGTCAGCCCGAATAGCTAGCTCAGTGCTAACGTCTCTCTGACAGCAACACTGGGTGACAAGGGTCCCAATTTCAAGAGGGATATGAGTTTCTTCAAGCTTGTAGATACACCTTGCTGACTTGTGAGTGCCAACTAGCACAAACACCGGGGTTTAAGGCTTCCTGCCGATTGCCTCTAAACATCTTTGAGTCGGTGGTACAACGATAGAGTGCCCGCCAACCACGCCTCGTGTGGTCTAGGATTCGATCCATGGCAGCCAACGCACTCTTTTAACTCACAAAGCCAGTTATAAAACTGGCGAAGAGGGAAGGTTGGGCCAGCATGAGGCTATCAACCCCCATCCTGTCTGTTTTTGATATAGAACTTTCCACCAATGTGCACCAGTTCAAGTCGCCACACTCCCTCCATGTACCACACAAAGAAAGAGAAGGAGAAGAAGGTAGAAGAAATGCATAACAGAGACAGTAAACAGAGGTGTGAGACAAAGGAATAGTAGTAACGAAGAACAATATAGTTTCAAGTCACAAAGGGTGGATGCATCTGCACCAGCCGGCCATTCAGAACGATTTTGAGCCATATCACCAATTGTGCCCAGCCGTAATTGGTTTTTACCCTCCCGAGGACCCCAACCAGCTAAGAACTCTACACCTTCCTACGTGGCTTAAACTAACTGTTGTGGATTTCATTTACTGATGAAGCCATGTTTTGGTTTGACCTCCGCTAGCTCTTTTCCTGCCTGACCCTATGTCAGCTAACAGTGCCCGCTGCAGAGAAAGGCGATGACTAGGCATTCATACGTAACACATGTCCCAACCATCTCAGTCAATGTCACTTCACAACCTCGTCGATTGATTTCCTCTCCCTCCTTACCTAGCACTCGACCGAGGTCTAACCTCAATATTGCTCACCTTATTATACCACTTCACACGAGAGATAGAGTTCAGGCACCTATGATCAAAGACAGCTAGCTAGCCAGACTTTTCATGACTTCCACTCTCAATGGTCAAGTCTCACAACCATAAAGGAGGACGAAGCGGACTGATGAGCAGTACACACGCCCTTTGGTCGATAGCCAGCCGGATATCACGTCTACGCCAGAGACGGCGTAAGCTGGCAAATGCGAAACGAGCCACCTGTATTCGTGCTGAGATTTCGTCAGAGATCAACCCGTTGGTGCTGGCTGATGGTACTTTGCAAATAAGTGAAGCGGTCAACGTGCTCTACCACTCCCTATTTCTAAATTTATCATTTTAAGATGCCTGAGTCAGAGAGTCAGTTAGAACTCAGTCTTATAGTTATTATTATTAATTTTTTTATTTACAGCTTGATTCCACACCGTATTTTACGGTACAGGTATGTAATTTTCAGCATGTGATATCGGTAGCCCAAACTTTGTAGGCCGACCATAGACATCAGGTGTGCGTCGGCGTGGGCTCAAACCCCGGACCATGTGCATGATCGGCGAGAGTCCTAACCGCTGTGTCACCGACGCACAATTATTATTTCGTTGAGTACCCAATGGAACATAGGGATTCAATAGCACATCTCCATTTCATCATGTTATTTTGCAGTCTTTTCTAATTTGGCTACACACAAGTTTCCACCTCCTCTTCACACGATCTCCTCCATACTAACCAAAAAGACCATGTCCAACTCATCGTTAGCAGCCATTCAAGAGCCTGCTTGTGTTGTGATGTCACTATTCAACAGTCTCCACGGCATATTTATTGGACAATAGGCTTTTTATCCGCTAGAATTCCTTGTTGCTTATCCTTTCTGGTCATCTGATCCTCCGGTATGGAGCCAGCTAAAACAGCTAGCTAGGTATTGATGAAAGTCTGCCAACAGCCTGTTGGAATTAGGTGCTTTTCGTGACATTCCAAGTCTATGAACCACATAGGAACATTCGACTTTAGAACTCAATTACCCGAGTCATATTTTTCATGTGCCATCGTATGAGTGCCACATTTGCTGTATGGAAGGGTGGATCGCTAGAAGCTACATTACCCAATTACTGGGTTCGAAAAGGAGTGGCACAGGACTCGAGCTCAGGATTCCCTGACCGTAAGTTTAGTAACAATTACTATTGCATGTCACTACCAGTAGTGGTGAGCGACCTAAGTAGACATTCGATTGCTTTCTTCGATTATGGACAACTCTCTCTCTCTCTCCCTTTCTCTGGACATTAAATTAAAGTCTTGAATCTCTGGTTCTGATAATGAAGATTTAATTGCAAGTATACAGGTAAAACTTTTTCCAACTTACATCACAAGCTGACATCAGTTATAAAATCATAGAGGACCAGAGAGTACTGGACATCTGCCTCGTCCTATTTTTGAGTCTCTTCATCTGTATGCATACACCTGTTATCCCAGAGTGAGTCAAACTCAGACCCTCTTCAGATCAGGAGACATATCCGTTAGCCATTCAATCATTTAAGGACCCATGAGTTCTGACTTCTAACAATTCATGACATATAGCGCCACCGTCAGTTCACGATTAAAACTTGAAACCCCTCAAATCTCTCCAAACCATTCCTATTTCTTGAATATTTACCTAGTTATTACTCTTCATGACTAATGCAATGTATATTTCTGTCACTCTTTTGCACTACATAACACTGTCATGTTTCGCACGCTAAAACTAAATCACACCGGGGTTCGAACCCACGACCCTCCAGTCACGAGGATTCCAACCCCTGTGGGTGGTAGTACTTTGCAGCGTCTAAAACTAGGACTCAAACATCTGTACACTACCCCTACGTTTTACAATGGTTGTCTCTTTAACCTCTGTCGGCTGATGATGAAATCCTGTAATCGCTCAAATCAAATTCCTCTAAACCAAAACTTAGAAAATAAGTATGAAAAAATATCAAAAAGGCGTCTTCTTTCACTATACAAACGCCTGTACAAATTACGCACAGTCCTATTCCCCGTCTGTCTGTTTTCGACATAGAACTATGCACATATGTGCGGCAGTTCAAGTCGCTACACTTCATGTAGCACAAAAAGCAAAAGAAGACCGATAGCTTCTACCTTGACGTGATGGTCGGGCGTGTACATCACAATGACCCAACAAGCTACACTGGCTGGAACCAATGTTCCTGCAGGTCCTACGATATCAGGAAGGTTGTTAGGATAGCGATTAGACTAAAAACAGTTACCACCATTGTGTAAGAATTCTTCTTTTTTATACTATGCTGCGGGGTCTGTGGTCGAATTCGTACTGCTTGGGAACAGGGATGTAACAGCAGTGAGGTGTTTCCTTCAGATGACCAACCAGCATGCCCGCCAACTATTCTGTCTCTCCACTCCGGAGGGAGGGGGTTAGAAAAAATCGACCCCAAAAATTGTACACCCCGACTTACCCTACGGTGGTCCGTAACCAGCGGTAAGTTTACTAATACGGAACCAAACCAAGAAACCAGTTCATACAGGCCGTGTGTGACCGGCCTCAAGCAGTTGTCCTTTGGGCTCTGCGGTCACGCAACACTAACCCACGGTGTCGCAGCCGGGAAGTAACAACCACCCACACACTTCCAAAAGCACACGAAGCCTTCCTGAGCACTTATTCCCCGTCACAGTATGTTGTAGTCAATTAAATCTGTAACGATCAACTTTTGACAAGGTATACTATACATAACACATCTCTAAGTTGGGGGAGATAATTACGAAGGCGTCACATACATTCACGACACTACTGACTACTGAATGATTAAGATGAGTGGTTGCTGCATACCCATCACATCAACCAATAGTGCTTCTTAACCAGCCAGATCGGTGTGATATAAACACCAAATGGTGGTTTAGCTCATCCAGGGACGAGCTCCACTTGAACAGTCAAATCAATTTCTGCCTAGCACTACTTGGTGTTACAGCTTTATATAGTAAAGAAACTGAGATAATAACTAGTAAAATACCTACCTTTCTTCAGTTTTTCAACTAGATCTGCATTATTTCGAGCTAACATAACCGATGGATCATCAAGTGGTCGTGTACCACCCCAAATCTGTCCACGCCAACCTCCACCTTTTGCCGCTGCACTAGTTATATGTAACCAGAGAGCTTCTGTAAGACCAGCACGATCAAGAGGTGGTAAAGATGCAGCTCCAGCGATAACTGCTGTTGTTGCAGCTCGGGTAACTGAATTTCGACTAACTGTAGACAAATTGACCTGAGTTTCTTCTTTCATAGTATTCCCAGTTGTTGTTGTAGTATTGAAAACTACAGAAGCAGCAACAGCAGCTCTACCCGCAGCAATTGTCGCCGCTTGAGTTGGTATACCGACTAATTCACACAGACGAGTTGAAGCACCCGCCTCACGTAGGACACGAAAAAGAGCACTGTCTTCGGGGCTTGCAGTATCTTCATCATGCAGGGAATTGTAATCGATGCCAGCACCAGAAACATGTGAAATTTGTGTGTTTACAGCAAATCCTGCTTCAGCGGCAGCAACAGCTGAAGCCGCTGCGACAGTTGCGGAAGACATATTTGGAGTTGGTTGACGAGAACTAGCTTCAAGCTGAAAAATAAATAAATAAAAAACAAAATCACTAAAACCTATATCACGCATAACCTTGGCCAGTAAATCTATCACACATTCAACGTCTTTTGGTGTACTGTGACGTTTGATAATCTCTGCTGATGAAGGTTTCCTCTTCATGCTTGGTAACAAGTAAAACACTCAGATACACCCATATAAGCAAACGATTTTGATGCTTAAGTTGAGAAGCTAAAACATGAAGGCATTTTAATGGAAAGCTAGGCTAGAGAACTGAAAATAGTGAACAAACATCTTTTACAATTTTAGTCAGATAGTCAACTTGTTTCCAAGGAGAGAGACAGAGAGGCTGTAACAGGAAAATTGTTTGGAAAATCCCTCCTGAATGATATAATCTCAAATATATTCATGTTTCCCTTACCTTTGTAATTATTATTATTATCTGTTTTTCTCCTTGACTCCTGGCCGACAACTGCTACCTTGCCGTGGTGGTCGGGCTTGAATACCGCAGTGACTCAACAAGCTAAACTGGCTGGGACTCATTTCCCTGAAGGTCCTACCATGTCAGGAAGGTTGTTTGGATAGCGGTTAGACTAAAGGCAGTTACCATGGGGTACATGGGTTCCAGAATCCAATCGGATCAAGTGGCGTATGAAGCCATATGGGTCACCGAAAACCATGGGAATGAAGCTCCCGACGCTGCTCCGCTGTCTTGCGGATTAGACTCCAAGTCAAAGGCTTGGGGACTGGTCCCTTAATAAAACCACCTGCTTCGGTCTGGGCGCCCGGGCAGTATCTCGGCCCTCACATAATGAATGAAATAAAGCAACAAACTCTCATCGAAACTCATCGCGCGCTATTAACAATGATTTCAAGTAATATTGATTGCCTCAAGTCAATGAAATCCATAACAGTTAGTTTAAGCCAGCCACGTAGGAAGGTGTAGACTTCCTGGTTGAGGTCCTCGGGAGGTAGAAACCAATTATGGCCAGAAACAATTGATGATATGGCTCAAAATAGTTCTCAACGGCCGGCTGGCACAGATGCATCAACTCCTTGTGACTTATGATTTCTAATGAAACTATATTGTTCTTCGTTATTACTATTCCTTTGTCTCACACCTCTGTTTACTGTCTCTCTCTGTTATGCATTTCTTCTACTTTCTTTTCTTGCTTTGTGTGCTACAGGGAGGAAGTGTGGCGAATTGAACTGCCGCAAATACGTGCAAAGTTCTATGTCGAAAACAGACAGACACAGTAAGGTTGTTAGCGCCCCGCCCACTCACGCTCTAACCTTTCCGACTCTTTACATGACTTACTACCGGCTACGCGAGGCTGAGGAGTGTGTTGACCAATCATATTGAAAGTCAAGGTAGTTAGTGAGCACACTACCGATTCACGTCTACATGTCCTCTGTATTGCCGAGCGATGCTGGGGACATCACTCGTACCAAATTCCCATGAAACTTCATGAACTCTCTTACAAATTGCCGCGCCTGGGCAGCGATGATTCGAGACGTTCATGAAGCCGGCTCATCCTCCCGTAGGAGATGGCCGAAGTAAAGTAAAGTAAGTAAGTCCTCTGTATTGTGCTTCATTATGCCTTCCTTTCTTTCTTCCCTTACATGTTTTCTAATGCTGTTCCACAAGAATTGTTCCTTTCTTCTCTTCACCATTAAATGTATCCCTGCAATGTTCAAATATCGTGTTAGTAGTACACACCACAATACTACCAACAACACCACCCCCACCTACCTACTTGCGCACAAATCTCGACTATTGGAGTAAGGTTCGAAGATATGACCAACAGTTCCAGAAAAAGAACACAGATGAATATCACTTTTTTTTAAATTAACATCAAAAATGTACTTACTTCAAATCGTCGTATAGCAGACAAAATACTTATGAATAAATCAGCCAATAGACCACAAGGATCAGATTCTAATAGACTATTTTCTAAAATAGATAATGTTAATATTGATGAAGTGGAACAAGCGGAAGAAGCGCAAGACGAAGAAGACAAAGTTGTCGAGGTAGACGTGGATGTGACACGTTCAACTGTTGTACTATGATGGTGTGATGATGATGATGAAGACGACTCCAAGGATTTATAATTTGTATGCGGAACAACAAAACCAATAAATGGACCAAAGACATTGAAAAATTCTAACAGTTGGATCACTGAACCAATATCATCCATTGATAATAATGTAGGGAACTGTGAAATTGGACAACAACAACAACAACAACCATAAAATACGGCATAAAAATAAATTCGAAAAAAATTACAAAAAATGTATAAGACTCTTTGGCGAAGTTAAACTTTCGACACCACTAAAAACCAATCAGCGAATTATCCAATGAGATTCACGAACGTAGTTCAATGTCGTAGAGCGCTTGATTCATTTCTAATGCGTGACCTTACAAGGTTACGGTTGCAATTCGAGAAGGACAGTGTTTTCCAGTATTGCCTGGATTTAGGGTTGCTCCGGAAGGAGCAAACCTGTTCTGGTGTTGGTATCATGACTTTAAAAAGCTATAGCAGATCAGCTGGTGGGTTTATTCATCGTTGTGTTATATGTTTGAGGCGTGCTAACATTACCCTCGTAAGCTGATAATTTTAATATTTCGTAGGAACTTTTTTCGCTAGGTCGCATCTCTCCCTAACCCAGATTTTATATATCTGCAACTACTGGGTGTTGAAACAGCTGGTGAGAGCAGCAGCTGCCGAGACTGAGAATAGTCTCGTCTCAACAGTTTAGTGGTACCAGCATTGCAGAGATATTGCTTCGTGTAAAATAGAGAAAATAACTTGTTTGCTGTGTGGATCCCGTTACGAGGACTCGTACGAATTCTATTGAAGGTTTTTGAGGCCGCTTGAAAAACAAGATAAGGGCTATAAATGAATCTCAAAAGGATCTCATTTATAGCCATTCAGATGAATATAAGTACAGGATGTGCTGTGACTTCGCCATTGACAGTCACATGCTAAACTGGGAGATGTTTCTCTCACATGTTCGAGAAAGATACCCCCTTGTAACCGTTTTATCCTTTTTTATGCTTTTTTTCTATAAATATACGTTTCCATTCATCATATATGCCTCTGTAATGTGATTGGTCCGTTCAAGGTCGTTTGCTGATTGGTTGTTAGTGTTGTCGAAAGTTTAACTTTACCGACTCTTTTTCTACCTGTCTCTCTATCTCTATCTATCTCAGTATAAGGAAATGAAATAGGAACAAACAAAAAACAATCTAATTGAATTTTAGATTTTCCCGTCGATTGATTAGACCGAAGTGCTCGGTCTCAGGTTGACATGTCTGTCGGCTTCTTGTGCAGATGCTTCGACGATGCCTGGGCATTTAATTAGTATTTAATTGGTGGATGATGGTGACTAGCAGTGGAATCCAGGACAACGCGCATTTCGTCCTATTTAGAACTCGTCATCTGGTGGATGTATATGCATTTCTTAGTGAGTGATGATGTTCCCACCCACCGAGGCTCGAACCCAGTGCCCAAACGCCAAAGAAGCTAACATGTCAATCCGAGACCGAACACTTCGGTCAAATCAATCCACGGGAAAATCAAAAATTCAATTAAACAATTAATATGACCCGTTGCACAAGAGGTGACTGGCTCTCGTGGCCTAAGTCGTCCAGTGGATAACACGCTTTGGCGTTTGAAACTATGGGCACCGGGTTCGAGCCTCGGTGGTGGGAACATCATCACTCACTGAGAAATTCAGGTACATCCACTGGTTGACGAGTCCCAAATAGGACGAAATGCGCATCCTGGATTCCACTGCTAGTCACCATCCATCAATTAAAAAGACAATCTGTTTATTTCGTGAATAATCCTCATCCAGTGACATGAATGAAAATTAAAAAAATGCAGTTCAGTGGAGAGTCTCTATTCGGTGGTGAATTTATTCACTTAGCTGTACAACCGCAGTTTGTATACACTCATTTCGTGTGTGTGTGTGTGTGTGTGTGTGTACATTAAGTTTGTCCGATAAGAATTTAGGGTTATTGTTGTCAGGGCATTTCAAAAAAAAGGGATTAGTAATCAAAGTGTAACAAGGGAGAGGGAGGGAGATCGGTAAGACGGTAGTGGTGATGTGTTGTCCAAAAAAGACACATAAAAGAAGTTGAATAAGCGTGATACAATTACGTAATAAGATGAATAGTTTAATCAGTGAGTTGTGTGATTAGGATGCACATCCGGTAATAAAATGCACTCTAGAAGTGGAATATCAATCCCCGAATTCCCTTTCTTGATGTACAACTAACACAACGACCTGATGGAACCTTGTGAAGGTCAATCTATGGTAAACTGACTTGAAACGGTCAATTAATAAACGAAAACTGATTAAATCCATTACCATTATTCGGATCCAGTGCATCTGTAGTTCTAACACACCTTAGTAGTTCTTCTGAAGGAAACTTTCATCTAAAATGGATACCCGTCAAGATTCGTCTATAGGAATATCAAGGGGGATTTAGCAAGCGATATTCTCAAGAGAAGGATCACATTATCTCTGAGAAGAACATACTTTGCAGAAACGCTAAGAATAGTGTTCTTCAGTCGCCCACTGATCTGCAGAAGCCTCAAGGACAAGATCCCGCATCTGACCACTTCGATGTGCATATATCAGTTCACCTGCTGCTGTGGAGCCAGACAAGCACATCGGTCGTTCGACGCTCACCCTGTCCAAGAGGATTCAAGAACACTATCCAGCCAGCATGGTGGCAAAAAACCAATAGTGATGCAATAAGAAGTGCGATAATTGAACACCTGGTTAACACACTGGTCATTCCATCTCAGCAAACGCCTCCTGCTTCAAAAGTAATCTACAGAGTCAAGAATAACCTATCAAAGGCAATATGGTTTCGTCTTCTTTGTATCACTGAAGCTCTGGTCATTCATATAGAAAAACCGAACTTAGCTTGCGATATCCTCAAGAGAAAAATTTCAGTATCTTTGAAAATAAACATTCTTCGCAGCAAAACACTAAAGAGTAGTGTTCTCCAGTCGGTTATTGATCTGCAGAAGTCTTAAGGATAAGATGCCGCATCTGGCCCCTTCTATGTGCATATGTCACAGTTCTTCTGTTATTGATGTGCAGTCTCAGGTACATTGATCGTTCAACGCGCATCCTGTCCGAATGGTTACAAACAGGTAATAGTGGTCGTATACGGAGTGGGATAATCGAAACCATCTCGTCAAAACACTGGTCAATCCATCTCAACAAACACCACCTACTTCATCAAAGTGATCTACAATGTGAAGAATAACAACCTACCAAAGGCAATAAATACGCTTTCGTCTCCTAGCTGCATTGCTGTAGCCTTAGCCATTCATTCAGTTGAAGAAACAAGAGTTATGTATACAAAAGGAAAATCACATCCTACCACTTCTACAATCATGGTAGTAACAACCGTGTTGACCTCTACTGACTTGATGTTTGTGTGCTTGTTTTTCTATAAATCCTCATAATATTTGTAACTTTTTAGAATTCTTACTTAATTCCATTTTCCCCTTGTTTTATATGTGCATCCTTATCACACTTATTCTAAGTGTTTTTTTTGGACAACGCATCACCACTACCCCCTCTTACCAATCTACCTCTCCTCTTCTCTCCACTGGTTACAATTTTCTTACTTATCACATCATGGAAATGTTTTGACAACAATAACCCTAATTTCTTATCGGACAAACTTAATGTACACACTCACATACACACACACACACACACACACGAAAATGAAGATATACAAACTGCGATTGTACAGGTAAGTGAATGAATTCACTGCCGAAAAGAGGCTTTCCACTGAACTACATATTTTATTTCCAACTTATTTTGAAGTATTGGGTTTGTAGGGATTCGATTGATTGATTACAGGATTTTAACATGAGCTGACATCAGTTAGGGAGCCATTGGAAAACCTGCTGAGAGTACTCGACAGCTGTTTCGTCCTATTTTGGAACTCTTCATCAGTACACACCCACCACAGTGGGGCTCGAACCCAGGATCTTCTGGTAACAAGGCGAGCTCGTAGACCATCAAAAGTCACTGGGACGCAATTCAATAGCCTATGCATTCTAACTTCTGCCAATTCACGACATAGCACAACCGCTAGCCAATGTCTTCGGCGAGTAGTTGTCCTCAAATCCGACCTGTTGCACCCTACTGGTCACGACTTGTCACTAGAATCCAGGTAACTACCTATGTGAATAGGGCCAGTCGCTAGTGACCATCTCACTGATATTCAAGTAGTGGATATAATAAACAGTGAAACAGTATTATTATTATCATGGACAGGATGACAACGTTCTGACCACACACCTTCTAAACTCGTTTCTTTCTCATAGTTCTTATCCTTGTTTCCCACTTATTGTGAGGGGGGGATTCATGAAGGTGACAGCTTGTAAGTCTAATTTAAAAGGTCAGAGAAAAAGACAGAGAGACACTGGTAACTGAAACTTCGTGTTCCATTGTTGAGCTTTCATTACAAATCGATGGCATTAGCATTTTGGGACTCTTCTGAAGTGCCCACCCCCTCCTTCATCAGGTTAAGAGATCAAACTCATTGAACATTTAGTCCCTTAGGCAAGAATTCAGTTGAGTCTTGAGTTCTACCTTTTATTAAGTCTTTATTGATGACTTCAATAAGCATCTAACTACACCTTGACATGGTCGTGAATCCCACTGGTCACAACTTCCCGGCGCAGCGGCAGCAACAGCAACAGATTCAGGAAATCCACCTGATAGGTTTTCAGTGATCACTCTAATTGATGTTAGTTTGTGACAAAGATCTTATAATTGAAATATATTCAGAATCGTCACAACTCCTATAATCTGGGACTTTATTTACCGAATTAGCTGAGAATGGCACATGCAACAGGAATGATTCACAACACACCTGCTGTTCACCAGATTTCGAAAGTTCGACAATGGCAAAGAAGAAGAAGAAGAACGCGAACTGTGACTCTTTCACACTCTGTGTGTGTGTGTGTGTGGATGATACATCAAATAAACTAAAATATGGAAAAACAGGCAGGGGGGACAGGAGGGTCGAAGAATTATTGTCTTACCTTTGTATATTCCGGTAAAGGTATTAAATCGGGTAATTCTAAGTCTTCACGACGACGTACTAAACTCCACTCTCTTTCTAGTTCATTTCTTTCAACTCTTATTGAACGAGGAATATCATGGGTAGATTGTTGTAATAATAAATGATCTAATAAAAAAGGAAAACAAAACAAGGATATATATATATATATATATATATGACATTCTTCAATAAAACAGAATTATTTTAAGGTGGTTGGGTTCTCTGAGCAGTATAGTTAATTTGTGAAGCTTTCATCGCCCTACTAGACGACATCTTCAGCGCATACTTCGATTCGAATTGAAGTCAGCTGTTAGATTTCTCCACCAGTTTATTAAACATTTCTCCTAGTGGCTAACCTTTAACGTGATTGGTTGTTTTCGTGTGTTTTCACACCTTCTAGGTCCAGTCTGTCTGTTTTCGACATAGAACTTAGCCCCGATTTGCCGCAGTTCAAGTCGCTACACTCCCTCCATGTACCACACAAAGCAACAGAAGAAAGTACAAGAAAAGCATAATAGAGACAGTAAGCAGAGGTGTGAGACAAAGGAATAGTAATAACGAAGAACAATATAGTTTCATTGGAAATCATAAGTCACACGGAGTAGATACATCTGCACCAGCCGGCCATTGAGAACGATTTTGAGCCATATCACCAATTACATCCAGGTTTCATTAGTTTTTACAGTCCTGAGGACCCCCACCCGGACGCCACTCGACACCTTCCTACGTGGCTTAAACTAACTATTGTGGATTTCATTTACTGATGAAGCCATGTTTTGGTTTGACCTCCGCTAGCTCTTTTCCAGTCTGACCCTATATCAGCTAACATTGCCCGCTGTAGAGAAAGGCGATGACTAGGCATTCATACGTAACACATGTCCTAACCATCTCAGTCAATGTCACTTCACAACCTCGTCGATTGATTTCCTCTCCCTCCTTACCTAGCACTCGACCGAGGTCTAACCTCAATATTGCTCACCTTATTATACCACTTCACACGAGAGATAGAGTGCAGGCACCTATGATCAAAGACAGCTAGCTAGCCAGACTTTTCATGTCTTCCACTCTCAATGGTCAGGTCTCACAACCATAAAGGAGGACAGAGCGGACTGATGAGCAGTACACACGCCCTCTGGTTGACAGCCAGCCGGATATCACATTTACTAAGCCAGAGACGGCGTAAACTGGCAAATGCGAAACGAGCCCCCTGTATCCGTGCTGAGATTTCGTCAGAGATCAACCCGTTGGCACTGGCTGATGGTACTTCCCAAATAAGTGAAGCGGTCAACGTGCTCCACCACTTCACTTCCTATTTCTAATCTAGGAGTCAGTATAGTCCAATCCTGTAACATTTGACGGGAGCGAATCGCATACCAAAAATTCGTAGATTGCAAGTTAAGGTGTTCAGAAGACTCTGCATTTTGTCAGTGTCCTCACCTAGAAGGGCAATATCGTCTGCATATTCTAAGTCAACGAGATTATTCCCTGGTAGCAAGTCAATCCCTGATTCTCTGAAGTGAGTTAGGGTTCTACGCATACACACATATATATAAATATATATACTTACTAGGTGCTCCATTCATCACATATGATCCACTCATTAATGTATGCGTCTGTTGAAAGAAAACTTTTTGTGATTGAAGTGTATGCGGTTCATAATATTGTACACGAGTTGCAGTTGTTCCTACTGATGATGAAATTATATTATGATTCAGTGTAACAGAGGCTGAAATATTCCCTGGTATCTTTGTTTGACTACGTACACCAGACTTATCTTCCATAAATGTGTCGATCACTTTGAATCCTTGACATACAGGACGATTAGATTCTTTTGGATGATTGATTATATTTCGATTCACAGTGGCTAGGATTAATTACAACAACAACAACAAAAAATGAAAAATGAAAAATAAATACGCAGATGAGTATTAAAGGAAGATAATGAACAACGAGGAGTCTTAATTTGGTTGAGTTGAGTGTCCTGTCACCAAATTACATTTCCCTTTCTCGCTAGACAGGTTGTATAGTGGTCTTGAGAGCGTTTTTTACAAGTGAACACATCGTACACCCAATGTACTCTGGCTCCACCTGAGCATACAAGATGTGGTCATTAAATGTGACAGCTTATCTTTCACATGTTAGCCAAATAATTCCTTGCAAACAAAACAGAACTCAGTTACCCGGTTTTGAATGTCTGTCTATCTGGATTCAATATAGAACTTGGCACCCAAGTGCACCAGTTTGAGTTGCCACACTCCAAATAGCACACAGAGGTAGACAAGAAGATGAGTGAAGAGAATCAATACAGTCTGACAAGTATAAGAGTGAAAGAGAATGGGTAATGGTAGAAAGGAATATGAAAGATTACAGAGACTGAATACATCTGCACTGGCCATTGACAACGATTTTGAGCCATGTCACCTATTGTCTCCAGTCATTGATTCTTAGAGTCAGTCCCGAGGGCCCCAACCCGGAAGTCTGCATCTCCCTCCCTACCTGACTCAGTTTAACTGTCAAGGATTTCATGGATTGATGTCATGTTCTTGTTTGGATACCACTTACTCTTTTCCAACCTGAACCTATATCAGCTAGTAATCCCCGTCGGGGGAGGCGATGGTTAGGAATGCGCAAAACGTCACCAAGCCATCTGTCTGTCTGTCTGGATTCAACATAGAACTTGGCACCGAAGTGCAGCAGTTCGAGTTGCCACCTTCCAAATAGCACACAGAGGTAGACAAGAAGATGAGCCATCTATGTAACTTTATAGCCTCGTCGATTGATTTTCCCTCTTTGCCCAACACTCTACGCCTAACGTCAACATTACTTACCTTATTAAACCAACTAACGTGAGACAGAGATCGCAGACATCTATGATCGAAAGCAACCAACCTTTTCATGTCTTCAACTCGTATTGGCCATGTTTCAGAGCCATAGAGAAGGACGGAGCGAACTGCTGAGCATTATACACGTCTCTTGGTTGATAGCCAGATGTCACGCCTACGCCAGAGATGGTGTAAGTCAGCGAAAGAAACTCGAGCTTTTTGGATCCGTGCTGAGATTTCGTCGCCAATCAGTCCATTGGTGCTGATACAACTTCCCAAATAGGTGAAGTGGTCAACATGTTCTATCACTTCACTCCCTATCACTAAGCTAGGAGTTGACGTAGTCCAGTCCTGTAGCAGCATCTTACATTTTACAGGGGCGAATCGCACGTCAAACATACAAATATTGCTGCTCAAGGTGTTCAGAAGACTCTGCATTTTGTCACCATCCTCCCCTAACAGGATTACGTCATCTGCATATTCTAAGTCCATAAGACTATTCCCTGATAACAAGTCGATTCCTAAGTCATTACGTTCAGTTAAGGTTACTTCCATTAGCATATCTACGATGAAGTTAAACAGAAATGGGGAAAGTGAACACTTATTATGTGAAGGGGTTAATGATTCTGCTGTCCAGTTGTCTAGACTAAAGTAGGCAGAGCAAGATTCAATTGTTTTCTTTTTGCACGAGTGTGAGCCACCTGGACCTGTTCAGAAGCTCTTGTCTGTCTCAAGTACTCAAGAACTCAAGACACTCAACTCCATCTCAGAAATCTATCAAAAACCTAAATAATACTTAAGAACTAGAGAGAATGGGGAATAATAATAATAATAATTCCCATATTAGATGAATTTATTTGATATAAACGCATAATAGTATTCATGGATGAGTGATATTTTAAGCACAGTTTTAGTGCTCATAATCATCATATCAAACAGTTGTACTCCCCTTCCGCTGTTTTTAATGAAATTTGCCGTGTATCCAAAACTGATTCGATGAATAAATACTCAGTGATTAACCATTTTCTTTCTGTATACAATTGGTGGATGGTGGCTAGCAGTGGAATCCAGGATAACGCGCATTTCGTCCTATTTGGGACTCGTCAGCCAACTGGATGTACCTGCATTTCTCAGTGAGTGATGATGTTCCCACCGAGGCTCGAACCCAGTACCCATAGTTTCAAACGCCAAAGCGTTATCCACTAGACCACTTGGGCCACGAGAGCCTTGGGTTCGAGCCTCGGTGGGAACATCATCACTCACTGAGAAATGCGGGTACATCCAGCTGACGAGTCCCAAATAGGACGAAATGCGCATCCTGGATTCCACTGCTAGCCACCATCCACCAATTGTATACTAATTAAGTACCCAGACATCGTCGAAGCATCTGCACAAGAAGCCGACATGTCAACCTGAGACCGAGCACTTCGGTCCAATCAATCGACGGGAAAATCAAAAATTCAATTCAATAATTTTCTTTCTGTGTCTATTAATCTACCTATCTATCTAATTGTATTACCACATAATAATTTTACCTTGTCCAACCCTATTGTCTGAATACATTTTGCATGGCTATAAGCTATACAGTCATACTTACACACACGGCTCCCCTGGCATTGTTTTTGGATAATCCCTGTCCATATGACGATATTACCACTGGCTGCGGATCACCACCACCACCACAAGGCAAGTTGGGAGTCTGGATCATAGGGCAATTGTAACTTAGATTTTGCTATTATTTCCAATTCCGTTTATGATGAACAAACTACCGATCGATGCATATACACTTTCTTCACAGTTCAAATATTGTATTATTATTATTATATATTATTATTCCCTTGTGTTCTGAGTGGAACATAGGGCTGGCTTCAACAACACCTCTCCACTTTCTTCTGTTTTCTGCCGTCCTCTTCATCTGGCTAACCCCACACGATTGACCAAACTCTCTCATCTCTTCCTCCCCAAACGACCTCTTCCATATGTCACCCTCATACTGAGCACCCACTCGTCGGCTTCCCAGTTGGATTCCACTCGAGAAATAGCCTAGCTGGCGTGCTATGTCATTCGATGGCATCCTCCTCAATGTATGCCCGATCAATCCATCTCCACTTTCTCCTACATATTTGTTGAGAGATCGGCTCTTGCCTGTTGGTTTATTCCCCTAGTTTCTTGTCACCTAGTTAACTAACTCGCTAGTTGTTTAACCGATGTGTCAAGCCCGGGTAAAGAAGGAGGGCTGGGCGTGGGGGCTAGCAATCCCACACCATTAAAACTTTCAACCCACCAGAGAAACACAGAAAATACATCAAAAAATACAAAAGCTACAAATATTGTAAGACTTAATAAACAAATATACACATCTAAACACAGGGAATCTACTAAACTTTTTCAACAGTTGTGATACTTCATGGTTCACGCACATACAGGAGGTCCAGTTACTCTGCCTGACTGACTGACGCGCTTCCACACACATCTGGCCTATCTTACTACTAGCCGATGAGTAAGTCGAGGAAGGAGGAAAGGCAGGGGGACGTAAGGCTAGCCACCCCCTCCCAGCACTCCGTAAGAAAAAAGCACAATACAAACGCTACGGGAACATCAAAGATATTGAAGCTCTTGGTTTTCCCTCGGAAGGTAAGGAAGAATGCGAAAGAAATTCATCACAATAATGACGTTAGCTATAATTTAGGTATCTAGACTGCATAAGGTATCCCACTGGCAAAAACGAGGAAGGAAGACGATTGGCTAGATACCAATAATAACAATAATTCTATATGCATAATCATAATCGTCGAACAACGCGCACAGAATGACAGTCAAACCTCTACTTTGAAAAGGCCTTCGACAGTGTTGACCGCGATGTAATTTGGCAACTACTTCAACACTATGGAGTGCACTGTGTACATCTCTATCAAACTCTTTCAACGGGTATGTGGCAATTTCACGTGTCAAGTGATCCAAAACGAAAAGTTCGACGAGGCGTTCATCAAAGTGAAGACAGGCGTAAGACAAACCTGTGGACAATCATAGATGATATTCCTAGTTGTAGTGGACTGGATTATGCGTCAGGAACTGTACGTTGGCAGTGAGAAGACAGCATTACATTGGACCGATAAGAAGATTCTAGGAGATCTGGATTTCGCAGATAACTTTAGTGTTTAGTGTCACACAACCTCAAAGACTTATAGTCAAAAACCGACCAACTAACTGGTAGACGGAACAGCCAGCGAAAACAGGACTCCAGGTGAACATAAAGAAGATGAAGGAGATAAGGATGACCAACCAACCAACCAACCAACCAACAAAAAGCAACATGCACCAATCGCTATCAAGAGAATAATTTTTTAAAGAGGTTACTTCCTTCATCTACTTGGGAAGCATCGCTTCAACTATATGGGGAATGTATGAAGATCTCAGAGCCAGAATCGGAAAGGCAGGCTATAACCTTAAACACTAAAATCAGTCTAGTAATCTTCTTCAATCAGTCAGCATAAAGAAAAAGACTCAGACATTCAACACAAATGTTAAGTCAATCAGTTCTATATGCATCAGAAACTTCACCAACACGTCAAACAGGTTATTATTATTATTGTTCCCTTGGGTTCCTAGTGGAACATAGGGCTTCAACTGCACGTCTCCACTTGCTTCTGTCTTCCTTCTGCCGTACTTTTCACCTGAATCCATCTTAGTCCATACTCTTTCAACTCCTCTTCACACGATCTCCTTCATGTCACCCTTGCACTGACGTCCCACTCGCCGCTTCCCTTTCAGCCTGATTCCACTCGAGCAATGGCCTGACGAACGCGCGATGTCACCCAGTGGCCTCCTTACCGAGCGAGTGTCCAATCCATCCATTTCCATTTTCTCCAACTGCATATTTGTTGGTTGGTGATTGATTGGTTCTTGTTTTGTTTGTTTGTTCCCATAGTTGTTGTTTCTTGTTGGTGATTCTTTCCGGCCCGGCCATCTGATCAGATCTTCAGTATAGAGCCAGCGAAGACAGTTAGTTGTTGATAAAGGTCTGCAACAGGCTGTTGGAAATGTTCTTTATGACCCACCCGTCCACCAAGTTTCTGATCCGTTCCGTGTAGAAGAACTGACTGACTTGACGTTGTTTGTATTGAAAATCCGACCGAATTTTGTTGTTGATGCTGGCTGAGTGACGAAGATTGGTTTCCAGATTGGTTGTTTCAGGTTGATGGATGTTTCTCACCTGCCTGCCTTCCCGATTCTCGCTCGATTTGACATTCTCCTTGTCCGTTCCAACTTCCTGTAGTTGAGACAATGCTCCCTAGCTAGATGAGTGAATAAAGTAACCTCTTTCAAATCCCTCCCGTTGATGGCTAACTGAAAATTTTTATCAATAACTGTCTTTACTCTTCCTATTGAGGATCAATCAAATGGCTAGAAAGAACTATATAGCAACACGAAACTCTAGCAGGTAATGAACCAATCAAGAACCTATTGTTTAACAAATATGTAGAAGAAAATGATGATGTATCATAGAACACACGCTGAGGAGACCGTCGAATTACATTGCGCTTAATGAAGGCCATCGCTCGAGTGGAGTCCAAATTGAGAAATGATGAGTTCCGTGTGCGTCCGAGGATGATATGAAGGTGGTGGAGATCGTGTGGCGAGGAAGAGATTAGAGACTATGCGCAATCGTCGGACCAGCTTAGGAGGACTTCCACAGAATAGGATAAAGTGGAGACGCGATGCTGAAGCTCCATGTTCCACTCAGAATCAAAGGGAATAAAAAATAATAATAATTCTACACAGTTATAATAAGATACAATTCAGGTTGAAAAGGTTCATCAACAACAAACAATTAGGAATACCCACTGATAGTAACAATAACAAATAATAAACATTGTCGGATAATTAATTGTAAAACTTACATGGAAGTGTAGGAACTAACTCAGACCAACGAGGCTCTGGTGGTAGAAACAGTTTAGTCCATGTCACAGGTCCATATGGATGTAATTTATAACGTTTCATAATTGAAGTCTACCATTAGTAATGATAGGAGAAAAGAAGAAAACAAAGTTGTTGCTCAGTTGAAATTATACAAAATGTAGTACTACAACTAATAGATCTGCAGTTCAAATCCCTTAAGTAGAGCATAGCTTTCATCCACACTATAGCTCGCTCGTATTTGCCGGTGTTTCGCCTCACACTATCTATATGCTGCCTTTTTCCGACCTCCCATCAGCGTTCCAAGTAACAGCCTCATCGGTGACGGATTATGGATACCAATCAACTGTGCAACAGCCTCGAAGCTCAGTCAGAAGACTCGTATGTCTCCTTTAAAAACTGCAGGGTATAGGCTTCCAATTTGTCGGTAGGCGGCGACACCAAATGTAACAGCCGAAGGAAGCTAAGGTACATTTTTCATCAATCAAACCGCTATTTACATAGTTTATATTTGTTTACATTAAACGACGTGGAATAGAATATTCAAATATACGTCGTGTTCTGTTGCCAACGCAGTAGTGAACTGTGGGGAACATGTGAGAATCATATTCCGTTGAAACACACATTGTCTGTATCACACCACCCTACAGTAGTCATATAATTTGATAAGATATTGATCACATTTATAGTAGATGATAGGTAAGCGGATCATTGTGGTGTAAGCTAGAGAAGCATAGAAAACTAAAGGAGTATATACTACTGTGGTGAGAGCTGACTGCTAGCCAAATTGGTAGACATTAATTTACGTCAATGTTTATGTCCCAAATATTGGTCGTGAGAAAAATATGAACAAAGACTTAGCGTAGGCGGATAAAGTTAGCATACAGATGATCTGACATTCAAGAAACAGCAACAAAGAAATGAAAGATTAACTTTCAGTGAAAAACAGCCAATCAGAAGACTGTTTTTCTGCCTACAATAATCTATAATGATGTACATGAAAATATATAAATATGTGCTGATTTTCTTAATAAACGATCTGTTGCCTTGCCCTTGTCTTCTGTTGTTACACTACCACTAGGCAGTACCGCACACGCCAAGCCCTCGAGTAGATCCCAAATGGAATGCAATGCATTAGAGGTGAATCCAAGGAGATTGTATACAGAGGAGGTGAGAGTTTGTAAGGCAATCGTCGTAGAGCCAACTGATTAGTCATAGAGCAGAGAAGTGAGTACAATGGAGATGTGTCACCAAAACTCGACATCCTCGCTTAGAACGTAAGGTGAACAACTCCTGTACACCAGGTATTCTTCTGTGCAACACAAGAGTTTTGATACACATTATTCGTGTAGTAATATAAAAAAAGATAGTAGTAAAATATGTATTTATTCCCCTTACCATTATATACATACATTTATTTATTATTTTTTAACTTGAACTGCCTGTGAAAAACCATATAAGCGCAATTTTCTGAGCACTGTTTACTAGTTGTGAAACTTTCTGTCAACATGTAAAATTTGCAAGTACGTTAAAACGTTTCTGTACTTAAACCTGAAAATTTATTTAGGCTGTAAGCAGCTGACGAGAAGCCAAAGAAATAAATGATGGTACCATGTTATTCTGCACAAATCAATGTTGTTCTCGCTTTATTCAAAGTAGTAAAATATTTGCACAAAAGCAAATGGAAGTATGGAAACTCAAGGTAACAATAGTATCCCATACACTGCCAACCAAAAATACTACTCATATTATAAAAAGAGTATTATTTAGAGGGGTGTTGCTGTTGTTGTTGTTAGATCTCATTTAACCGTAGCATATTTTCCGTAGACCAAGCTATAAGACACATACACACACACACGGGAGAAAACATGAGGGTTTAATGGATATAGGAAATAGATTACACAGAGTGAATGCATCTGAGTTAGCCATTAAGAATGATTTCGAGTCATATCTGTCTATCTGTCTGTCTGTTTTCGACATGGAACTTTCTACCAATGTGCACCAGTTCAAGTCACCACACTCCCTCCATGTACCACACAAACCAACAGAAGAAAGTACAAGAAATGCATAGTAGAGAGAGACAGTAAACAGAGGTGTGAGACAAAGGAATAGGAGTAACGAAGAACAATATAGTTTCATTGGAAATCATAAGTTACAAGGAGTGAATGCATCTGCGCCAGCCGGCCATTCAGAACGATTTTGAGCCATATCACCGATTGTTTCCAGCCTTCACTGGTTTTTGCCGTCCTGAGGACCCCAACCCGGTCGCCACTCGACACCTTCCTACGTGGCTTAGACTAACTGTTGTGGATTTCATTGACTGGTCCCATGTTTTGGTTTGACCACCACTAGCTCTTCTAATCTGATCCTGTGTCAGCTAACACTGCCCGTCGTCAAGGAAGGCAACGATAAGGTGTATGCGTAACACATGTCCTAGCCATCCCAGTCGATATAACCTCACAGTCTCATCGACTGACTCACTCTCCACACAATTATGGAGTGTTAGGGCTGCGGGGGTAGGGGGGTGGCAGTAGCCAGTTGATTTGACCAAGCTACAGTAGATGCAGCAGAAGTCGAACACCTAAGATTCACAAACTAAAAGTCAAGTGCTAATCAACTCAATGGGCTACATTTCCAAAACTCATACAGTGTAAAGCTAGAAAAAATTTTTTACATCAGGATGATATAAAAGTATTCATTATTCCAACAGTTAAATTTTCAAATAAAGCGGATGGTCATTAGACAAAACTATGGTAGATCTTCTTTCTTTTCTGAAGTATTCCCGCCGTGTGGTAGCAGTTTCTCAATAGTGTATATCCCAACATGTGTTTGTATGCTTGATACTTATCAACCGCTTGCAGTTCTGGGCAGTCGTCAATGAACTACTTCTAGTGAGTGGACGTAAGGGCTATTGATATAACTTAGCCTATTCAAACTTTAACAGGTGGAGAGAAGTTCGGAAGTGCGACCCGCTCTTGTTTGGAGGTCAACCGCCTAAACGACCAATTAGCCACAGCTAGCTCCACACCTCAAAATCGTTCTCAGTGGCGCAGATGCATCCACTCCTTGTGACTTATGATTTCCAATGAAACTATATTGTTCTTCGTTATTACTATTCCTTTTTCTCACACCTCTGTTTACCGTGTCTATTATGCTTTTCTTCTACTTTCTTCTGTTGCTTTGTGTGGTACTTGGAGGGAGTGTGGTGACTTGAACTGGTGCACATTGGTGGAAAGTTCTATGCTGAAAACAGACAGACAGACCACACCTCAACATATAAAAAAGGTCTTTATATTCATATTGGTTTGCAGGGATTTGATTTGATTTGATTGGTTACAGGATCGGTTAGACAACCATTGGAAAACCTGGTAGGCAGTTACCCAAGTCCCAGGGAAAAGTGGTAACCATTGGAGCTAAACAGGTCGGGTGTCAGGACAAAATACTCGACAGCGATGACATTCGCTAGTGGTCACGCCATGTCGTGAATTAGTAGAATTTGGAATTCATGCACTGGTCATTGGGTCGGTGCTCTCGGTAGCTTAATAGTCTACAGGCTTCCTCGCTTTGTAACCAGAAGGTCCTCAGTTCAAACCCGGGTGGGTGCGCACTGATGAAGAGTCCCACACACAAGAATGAAACAGCTGTCCAACTATCTCAGTAGGTTTTCCAGTGATTTCAGATCGTGATGAAATCCTGTAACCAGTTTTAATATTAACAGAAAAGAGGTTAACTAACAACTACATAAACAAGCTGAAGAATTTCAGTAAAGGTCTCAAACAAAATTTTTTTTTCCTATACTCACCTTAGGCGTAAAAACTCCATGTTTTAATTCACATGTATGTCGAATAAAAAATTTAATCTGATCCCTGGCCAGCGCATTACGATTCCGACGGTGAATAATAGATCCAGGGACTAAAACACTCGATGCAATATGATTTACACCATCTGCTTTTTTATATTCTCTTACACAGTAATGCAGTTTTGATGCATCAGGAATAGCACGCTTCTGAGTATCTGAATCTGTCAGGACTCCACTCTGTTAGAGATGGGAATAAAATAAAGAAAAATTTATAGGATAAGAAACACACACGTGTATATGTTATCACTATTATTACTTTCTTTAATTCCTTCAGCCGCGCGTCTCCACTGTGTTCGGTTCTCTGGCTCCAAGTATGGCCACACGCCTTCGTCTTCTCTTCACATGACGTCCTCCAAGTCACCCTCACCCTCACACTGACGACCAACTCACCGCCCGCTTCCCTTTCGGGTTCCACTCGAGCAACGGCTTGTCTAGTGATGACACTTGATGGTTTCCTCAGTGTATGGCCAATCCATCTCCATTTCTTCCTGCCTATTTGTTTCACAATTGGTTCCTGGTTCGTTCGCTCATTGCCAGAGATCCCTGTAGCTGATCTTTTCTGGCCATCTGATCTTGAGTAGTATTGAGCGAAGACAACTGTTAATGAAGGTCTGTAGTTTGTTTGAGATGTTCTTTATGACGCACCAAGTCTCTGGCCCGTACAGTAAGTAGCACTGACTGACTTCACATTGGAGTTGAAAATCCGGATTTTATTTTCATTTTCATGGTGAGTGCTGTTGACCTCCACACAGACTTGAGACTCCCATTTATTTATGCTAGCTGATTGTTGTCTGTTGTTGTCATTGCTGTTGGTGTTGCCCAAGAATCTTCATCGTCACCTCTGTTTTCTCTAGGTTCACCTGAAGTCCTATCTTCTCTGGATGCTTCTTCTGCCAACTTGTTGCTTTTCACTTGCATATCTTCCCAGTTTGTGAGAAATCAGACATATATCATCATCAGCGAAGTACAGATTCTCCAAGTTTTTCGTGAGGGTCCATTTTATGCCTGTTTCCTCGCTGCTCGTTGTCTGTCGCATTATATATATAAACTGGATGAATACATTTATTTTACATAAACAACTTCTACTACTATCAAGGTAACAAATGTGTTGGTTTCTACTTACTTGACTTTTTTTGTGTGCCTGTTGTTTTTTCTTTACGCCTTATAACAACTTTGGTATTTTTCTTACGCTTACCGAAGAGTTGATATCTTCCTTCATTTTTTATATGTACACATCCTAACCACGACTCACTCATTGAAGTATTCCCCTTATTATGTAACTATAATACAAACTTATTCAACTCTTATTTAATGTATTGATTAACAACTATATTTGTGACAACTCATGACTAATTTTGTTGCAAGAAAAAATTCTATATATTTTTTTTATTACAGCTTGATGCCACACCGTATTTTCGGTACAAGTATGGAATTTTCAGCATGTGATATCGGTAGTCCAAATTTTGCAGGCCGACCATAGATATCGGGTGTGCGTCAGCAGGGGATCGAACCTCGTACCATGTGCATGGTCGCCGAGAGTCCTAACCACTGTGCCACCGACGCACAGCTAAAGCCGAAAAGAGCTCATCCGCCATTGAACTAGATGTGTTCGTCTTGATTAATGCCTGGAAGGGAATTATTCACAAATTCTGAGAAAAAATAACCCGCAAGCAAACAAACTATCATCTCATAGGATATTTGTGGGGGGTTATGACAGGTTTTAAAAAATCAGTCATTGTTAAAAACACGTATTCCTTTCAAGCGATGTAGACCAGTCAGTCTTAACTACTCAATTGTTAAATACTGCCTTCTTTTGCTTCTTTTCTTGCCTGTTTTTAAGGGACTGTGTGAGAGACATTGATGACTAATGCAGCCTACAGTTTATTGTTTAACACTCCGACTGGAACATATGGCGCTTCCAGGCTTATAAGTTCTGACGTTTCACTAGCCGTGTTACAGCCTCTTAACAATAGGTGCGGTCGCCCCACCTTCCCATCTACTCCAGACTTACTACCGGCTAGGGAATTGAACTTGGGTTATTTATACGGTTGGTGAGCATTCTAACATATGAACTAAAGGTTTTTATTTACTATATATTTCTTGAGTGAATAGCCAAGTGTAGAATAAGGTAAATCAACAACTGGAAGTCAACCTAATTAAATAACTTTTACTTTAGCGAGTTATACATTGAAATTAACTCCTTTAGAGAATATATACATGTGTGCATAGGTGGTACAGCGGTAGAATGCTAGCTGACCACACACCTTATGTGGTTCAGGGTTCGATCCCCTGCCGCCAACGCACTCCTTTACCTCGCTAAGCCAGTAATATTTCTTTTTTTTCTATTTTCGATTACAGCTTGATTCCACACTATATTTTTGGTAGAAGTATGGAATTTTCAGCATGTGATATCGGTAGCCCAAATTTTGCAGGCCAACCATAGATATCAGGTGTGCGTCGGCAGGGGATCGAACCTCAGACCATGTGCATGGTCGGCGAGAGTCCTAACCACTGTGCCGCTGACGCACTGGTAGAGAAGGAAGGTTGGGCATGAGGCAGACTAACAACCCCATCCCGTAAAAAAATAAAACACCACTGCTAACGAAACGTCAAGCCGCTAGTTTGAAGCCCTAGGTTCCACTGGGAACATACAGGAATTATATATAAAGGGAAAGGTAGTACTTACATGTTCGAATTGACTTTTTTTCTGCGATAAGACCACACGCTCGATAATACCATAGGAACGGAAACTAAAATTATGAAATAGTGGAGGCTAATTAATACTACATAGAAACAATATATAAGATGAATACAAGTGTTATAGTGAAAGTGTTAAAAGTCTCTTTACAAAATCATGTAAGTGTCAGATTAGATAAAGGAGGCAGAAAAGCAGTTAAAAGAAACTGTCAGTTTCAGTGCTATACAGTATACACATAAGACAACGTCTACACACACTAATTTTTAAGTATTGGTCGAAAATTTTTAATAATGAATACACACTTGAATCGCAATGGGTCTGTTGACTTCTAAGAGGATAAATCAATATATATTCAGCAATATACAAATGTCGAACTGACTAAATGGTGTGATAATAAATACAAAAGAATACCGTCACTTAGTCCACAGACTTTACTTTCTCTACTCCCTCGAATCTGAAGAATATTTAAAATGTATACGTTGCACAAAAGATGCAAGTACTTCTTTATGCTAATTGTTTCTGCACCGTCTAAATGCAAAGTACTGTTACAAGATTGGTAGGAGTCTGTCTCACTCTGTACTCACTCTTGCAGATAAACCGCTTGAAGCTGTCAATAAGTTCATGAATCTGGGTAGTTGTGTGAATGTTGGCGGAGGTGTAACGAACGAGGGTGGCATATGTGAACTTGAACCACCTCACGACGTTATGCTGGCTGTCAAAGGTTGGCTTTACAATGTTTCGGCGCAAGCTGTCTTGCTCTACGCCTGTGGGGCCTGGCATCTCTGAGCTGAGGATGTGCAGCGACTCTACGTATTTAACCATCGTTGTCTCAGTAAAATTGCCTGCATTCGATGCCTTCATTGTGTCAGTAATTCTGAGGTCTAGTGGTGTGTCTTTGCACACAGTGGAGTTCACCATTCATTGAGTGTCGTCATCTGGAAACACCAACATCAGTGGCTTGGAAATGTGTTACGAATGTCATCCCAGAGACTTCCAGACCAGTCTCTGATCACTAGTCCTGGGAGAGGATTATAAACGCGGAGACGTGGTCAACCCATGATGTGCTGATTGTCTCCAGTCACCTAAGACCAATGCGAAAAGCACTACGACGAAGAGTCATCTATAGCATTTTGATCACGTTACAAACTTGACTGGCAGAAATTCAGTCAATCAGCGAAAATAATCCACTAAATTCAATGAGTTCGTCTTATTTTGCCACATCTGTTTGCGCAACATTCGAGAAAATAAGTGGGAAAAATTCTACAGCTTTTGAGTAATCAATGTGGAAAATATACTATGCTTAAAGTCAAAAGTTTGAAATAGGTGACTTATGAAAGAATGTGGATTACTACTAATGCTCAATTTGTAACAATTTCTAGTGAGCAACTGAAACATTACTCAACGACAACCAATTACAATCCCGTGCCAATTTGACAATGAACTTCATCTATTGCGTGTGAGTTAGTGATACAATCTGGCAGTCCAAACCTTGATAGGTAGAGTGGGGTTCAAACCCTAGTTTAGAAGTCGACCGACTCAGCGAATGAGCCACGACTTCACAAGGGATAAGTATCTGATATTAATTCAACTCGCTTAAGTACACAATTTTACAACAATTAGATATCTAGCTTCACATTTAACAATCTGTACTTATACACAAAATCAAAGTTATATACAGGGTAAATTTTAATTCCTAGACCAGGAGAGTTTAAAAAATGTACCCACTATGTTATAAATAGTGTCTACAGAAAACAATTCCTGATGCTTACTTTGAATCTGCAACGTGAAATTCAATTTCTTCACCGACAAAATATCGACTGCCTGCAAATCCGCATAATAATTCAACAAGTTCTGGCAGTCTATGTCTTCGTGCTCCTGCAATTATACACAATAGTCCAGAAGCTAGAGCATTATCAAAAGCACTTAATTGTCGATAGTCAGCACGTTCACAGGCTACTGCCTCTTTATAAGTTGAAGGCCCACGATTACACACTGAACATGTCCATATCATACTATTTACCAGAATAGTACGTTCAAAATAGTCACTAGAAAATTTTTAAAAAAGAAAAATTAGATTGCATTACACAATTTGTTATATAAATTCAATATGAATACAAAAGTTTGATAATTGCTTGACTTAACAATGTAAAACTTTACAAAAAGTTACATCAATTCAAATTGTTACATTTCGGAAAGTAGGTATATAAGTAAGGGGAGAAAGATCTATTGAACCAGTGCACATTTTGGAACTTTCAACGAAAGTAAAAACCTGGGTACGATGACCTGAGCTTCGTAAGTGAAAAGCTGTAAGAGTGAGTTTACGACAGAAATTAAGTATTCATGCACAGTAAACATAGGCTTATATGGTAAGTGTTCTTTTACTTTAGAATATCATTATGAAATATAAAAAGGAATACATTATCATTCTAAAGAAATGAAAACTCAAGTTGTGTGCAACTCAACAAATAAATATGTTTATGTACTCATATACGATGTAAAGATACCCTGCCAGTATATACTAATATATCATTATATTCTTTAATTCCTAGAGGAACATAGGGCTTCAGCTGCGCACCTCCATGGCCTTCGGTTTTCTGCCAACTTTTTCACTCCGCTCCAAGTCTGCCCACATGCTTTCATCTCCTCCTCACATCACCTCCTCCAAGTCACCCTTGTACGACCAACTCGCCGCTTCCCTTTCGGGTTCCACTCGAGGGCTTGTATGGGCATATTGAATCGAATGACTGAAACTCGTGAGACACATTAAAACATGAAGTGTTACCACGACTAAATATATATTTTAACTTGTACATCGAGAGTCAAAACAGGAGGCGAAGAGTTTGACAACGGACTCGTAAAGATACGATTCATTAGCTCGAGTATTTTACTTCTAACTACTGAATCTCACACCCAAACTTTGTTTCCTTTACCTCACTTTCATATATCGAATATGGTTCGTAGCTAAATACATAAAATAAAAAATGACCATATTGTGCGTCGGTAGCACAGTGGTTAGGACTGTCGCCGACCATGCACATGGTCCGAGGTTCGATCCCCTGCCGACGCACACCTGATATCTATGGTTGGCCTGCAAAGTTTGGGCTACCGATATCCATTCTGAAAATTCCATACTTGTATCAAAAATACAGTGTGGAATCAAGCTGTAATCAAAAATAATTAAAAAAATAAATAAAATATTGAATAATACCTCCAAACCAAAAAATGTTAAGTTAATGACCGATAACTCCGATAAATGATATTTTTAATCTCTTGAATTTCACGCAAAGCAGAATATTTAATTGTTTCTACATATTCTGAATGAATATTACTCGATAACTAATTGCAATTCCATTCAGTTGACAATGAAACATATGTTGTGCGCATGAGGACTTGTGATACTACCTGACCACTCGAACCTCAGTAGACAAAGTGGCGCCTAAACCCGTGACCTACTTGATTAGAGGCTGAGCACCTAGACCACTGAGCAAAGACCCCCAATCCACACATTCTTAAATTTCAAAACAATTGTTTTGTTTGATATGTAGGTAGTTGTAGAAGCTGTGAGTTCCTCCACCATTAATAAAAAACTGAGTATAAAAACTTTTTCCTATGTGAAACAACATCTGCGAAAGTCACATTAAAAGGAAAAGGAATATATTAAGATGTACAGTAAGATGCCTTAGCCGAAAAGAGCTTCATTGTTGAACCACTTGTTCTGTTCTTTTCAAAAGGTCCAGAGAGAAAAAAACAAGACAGTGCTGAAGGACTTATGGTCAGCGTTTCTACTCATGAAGTCAAGTATCAAACCTTCATACAAAACATGTTACTTAGTGAGTGAATTCAGAAACTATGAATCGAATGAAACTATTCAGAAAAGAATAATTATAACATACAAACATTAGCAGACATTTAATTGGAATATAGAGTATCAATTTTTCGATTTCAAGACACCCGTTAAAACTTTACGGTAATTATATTTCTGATTGAATCTCACCGATGCAAGTGGATTTCAACATACAAAATGTTAAAAATAGTTTTTCGCCATTGTGATGGATGATCTCTGAATACACTTGGTTCGATGTCTAATCCATAATCCCTTATGATTATGGATTACTTTTACTCTATGAACTGTTGGGGAGTATTTGCATCTGCTATTAAGCCGGATACTTAACTTTTCCTACAAAAATATTGATCACTAACTTACTAGTGATACCCAGATATGAGATAATAGGAATAACTGAAGAATATTCTGTATCAGATCATCAGGCAAACTATAGGACTTAAAATGTTATGCTGTTAGAGCGTAAGATACGTCCTAACGGATATATATCAGTATATAATTGCAAATGGTTTGAAATTAAGCGAATAATTTAAGCAGTTATCTTATGTACACTGAGCTTAGATAAGCTTATTGATGCATTTACTACACCAACTGTTTAAAAACTAATCATATGCAACAAATATCCCACATGACGCTAATTATACCATACGACTTTATAACGTTAATGCTCGCAAAGTATTGATACTAAAACAAAAATTTTTTGAATGTAGGACAGGCGTTGACTTACTCGTAGTCACGGAAAACTTCTAAGGTGGTAGGTAAGAAGAATAACTCTTCATCCATGGAAAGATCACTTGGGGGTTGTCGTTTGACAAAAGTTTCTCCATTTAAATTCGGCATAGTTGAAATCTTAACTTTTCCAGACTGGTAAACAACGTTTGTATACAAATATTAAGGATTGTAGTTACGATGAGAATCAGTTTTAGATGCATGAATTCCAATTAATACATGGTAGTATTACTAGAATAGGTAATCCGGGAATAGTACGTACATGTAGATCGCTTCTGATGTGTCGCATGTAAAAATCAAAAATCTACTATACGTAATATTCGTCAATCAATACACAGTTATGCTTATTTTCAATTACTACACATTCACACCGTCCAATACCAAATGCGCTCGAAGAATGAATACTTAAACAAACCATATTTTGATACGTAAACAGAATTCAGGATTGTTTGTTTCAATTTTCCTATCATATTTTTGCATTAAACTTAGGACCCGTTGGTTATTCTGCAATAATCTCCTAAGTGTAAGAGAAAAACATAATGGTTTATCTCGGAACTGTGAACAGCGCGTGTACTGAGTAAAATATGGAAGCGCTACCTGGATATCCTTTCTTTATTACTTACTCACCCCTTTTTGTATGCTACTAAAGAAATAAGTGCCATTCTAGTCTTAGGAGTCCTGGATTTGGACCCTTTACAACCAACAGTCCGAAGGATATATATATTTTTATACAACGTGATATAAGTAACCTTCCTCCGCAATCGCTATACTGTCAACATCTCCCTACATGAGTATGGTGTTTTATTCTTTACGATTATGGTGACATTACATTAGGAGGTTGTGTGCTTTAATGGGAGAAATAATTAATTAAGTCGTGCTAATTCTCCAACATGTAGAATAATGAATCTTAATATGAGTGAAAAGCTTGAGCATTGTGGATTATACCGACTAAAGTATAATCATATTTCAATAGTTTACACACAATGATAAGTTTTGTTATTGGTAATTTTGCTCGAAATACTACCAATAACAAAACTTAAAATTGTGCGTAAGCTATTGAAATATAATCTTAATTTTTACCGCTGCCCAGAAGCAGCAATGAACCACTCTTAAATTACATTCAGATTGAGGCTTGGAGTCTATGTCGATCTTTTTCTAGTAGAATTCAGTGCATTGTCCAAACCCTTATTGAATGAATCGACTGAGGTTGCAGACAACACTTCTTCTGAAAGTCGGTTCCAGGAATTAATGACTTGGTGTGAGAACCAGCACTCCACAGCGATATGGTTTCTCTTTTGCTTTTGAACTCTCCTGCTATGTCCTCTAAGGTGTTCCAACCTGGTGGGAGAGAAAAGAGAGAATATATCGGCCCCATAGTCATCATTTAAAATTTTAAACTTTGTAATTAAATCTGCTCTCTGTCTACGGTATGACAGGGGAAGAGATATGAACTGTCTAGTCTTTCCTCGTATGATAAAATGGTCATGCCGGAAATCATACGTGTTAACTTCCTTTGAACTTTTCCTAGAATATGTGAGTCCCCTTTAAGACAAGAACTGGCTACCTGAATATAGTCTTCCAGTCTTGACCTCACCAGAGATGGATATACAGAGGGGAATATATCTCTGATAATTCGAGTGCCCATCAGGATCTGAAATTACGTGCAGCCAGCGTGCTGTAATTATTGGGTCATGAGTTACTATGATACCTAAATCCAAATGAGCATGAACTGACGGGAGTGTTATTCCCTCTAGTTCGTAGAGCTGATGCTTGCACATCCAATGTGCATGGCTGCACATTTAGCTACATTGATCGTACGCAACTATTCTCTGAAAATTGAGCGCATCGCCGTCGCCTTTCAGGTCTCTTCAGATCTTTAATTCATCTATGTACAGGACCATTAGTGAACCCGTGAGCACAGGCAACACATTGTTACACTAAATAAATAGGAGAGGCCCGAGCACCGTACATTGTGGCATTTCGCCACGCACTGCTGGGCGAAGTTAAACTTTCGACACCACTAACTACCAATCAGCGAATTATCCAATGAGATTCACGAATGTAGTTCAATGTTGTAGAGCGCTTGATTCATTTCTAATGCGTGACCTTCCAAGGTTACGGCTGCAATTTGAGGAGGTTAGTGTTTTCCAGTATTTCCTGGATTTAAATTGTTCCGGAAGGAGCGAACTTGTTCTTGTGTTGATATCATGACTTTAAAAAGCTACAGCAGATCAACTGGTGGGTTTGTTCATCGTTGTGCTGTATGTTTGAAGCGTACTAATATTAGAGAGGGTAAGCTGATAACTTTAATATTTCGTGGGAAATTTTTCCGCTGGGTCACATCTCTCCCTAACCCAGATTTTATATGTCTGCAATTACTGGGTGTTGAAATAGCCGGTGAGGGCAGCAGCTGCCGAGACTGAGAATAGTCTCGTCGTCAACAGTTTAGTGGTACCAGCATTGCAGAGATATTGTTTCGTGTAAAATAGAGAAAATCACTTGTTTGCTGGTTGGATCCCGTTACGAGGACCCATACGAATTCTATTGAAGGTTTTTGGGGCCGCTTGAAAAACAAGATAAGGGCTATAAATGGATCTGAAAAGGATCTCATTTACAGCCGTTCAGATGAATATAAGTACAGGATGTGGTATGAATTCGCCATTGACGGTCACATGCTAAACTGGGAGATGTTTCTCTCACATGTTCGAGAAAGATACCCCCTTGTAACCGTTTTATCCTTTTTTATGCTTTTTTCTATAAATATACGTTTCCATTTGTAGCGGTAAATAATTCCCCAAAATTATTGACCACAGCAATCACTCATTGGATGCTGACCACCACTGTTTAAGTCGACTTGTTTAGCTGAAGGCTTCCGGTCAAGCATCCCCGCCATTTGGTACCCCGTCGTGTAACGTGCACGATCACTAGCTAGCTAAGCGTTCGTCTATCGGCTGGTTTTGGTTCCTAAATACATTTCTTCGTTTGGACGACCAATTATTGGCTTTTGCTTTGTCTTTGGTACGCGAGAATAAATTAATTAGAAGTTGTTGAACGAGATATCACGTCAAACCTTTAATATCTCTCGACCTTTAAACTGGTGAGCCTAACCGCGAACTTCATCTACGACAATTACTCAGATAATCCCGGTGAGTTCGTTCCATTTTGTATTTGTTCTTGTACCATATATTATTCGATATAATTTTCGTCATGAGTGATCTTAGTCCCAAGGTCATCCGTATCCGCTCAACTCCTAAAACCATTCAGCTCGTACCATACTGGCCAGATAATGCTGAAACGTGGTTTCTGCTAGCTGAAGCAGATTTTTGTGAGCATGGGATAACTGATCAACGTTCACAGTTACTTGCAGTTATTCACGCCCTACCGCGGGAATTCAGCAAGTACGTAACATCACAGATGTTGAGTCCCGAGGTAAGTAACTCGTACGAGTTGCTGAAAGCATCCCTCCTCAGGAGAAACGCTCTCACGGACAGACAACGTCTAGATGAATTATTTCGCAACATCGAGTTAGGAGATCAGTCAGCCGTGAGCATGCTGACAAGAATGAAACAAGTCGTCGGCCAAAGTCAGTTCGACGAAGGACTGTTTAGAGAACTCTTCTTAACCAAGTTGCCACAATCTGTACAGACCGTACTTGTGACACTTGAGGGTACTGTAATAGAGAACTTAGCTATTACTGCAGATAAGATTCTAGAAATAACTAAACGGTCTGTCCCGAAATATGCTCAATGACTAAGCAGACTTCGAGTAAGGATCCTGCAATGAAAGAGTTATGCAACTCCATCCAGCAGATGTTTAGGTCAAACATGCATTCTAACTCCTCCGACCGTCGTCCTAAATCTCCTCAACGCAGGAACTCGCGTGGTCGATCTAAGTCCAAACCACGTTCACTGAAAAACCCTGACTGGTGCTGGTACCACAACACCTATGGCCAAGAAGCGAAGTGTTGCCGTAAGCCTTGTAACTTCGGAAATGTCTCAAAGTCTGCGGGAAACTATCCCGCCGGCACGCGTTAGCGGCAACCGTCGCCGGTGGCACTAGCCGCCTACTTTACATCCATGATGTGATAAGCCAGACTCGATACTTAGTCGACACAGGCGCCGAAGTCAGCGTCCTTCCTGCTACAGCAGCAGATCGACAGAAGGAACCTACCTTCAACTTACAGGCTGCAAATGGAAAACCAATCGCAACCTTTGGTAGGAAATACGTCTATCTGAACGTAGGTTTACGCAAACCTATTCGGTGGATTTTCCTTCTCGCTGACGTTACAATGCCCATCATTGGCACGGACCTACTTAATCATCATGATTTACTCGTAGACGTCCGCCGAAAACGACTGATTGACAATACTACTAGTCTGTCTATCAAAGGCATCACCTACATAGGCCCTAGCTTGTCACCCGTTAAGATAAAGGCAATTCTTGATCCAACTTTTCAACCTATTGTTGACAAGTATCCGGAACTTAATTGCCCGTCGAACGACCTACCGTGCATAACCAGCAATGTTATGCACCACATCATTACCACAGGACAACCTGTGACATCTAAAGCACGACGATTAGCTCCTGACAAACTGAGAATCGCCAGGAATGAATTTGACCATATGCTTAGCCTTGGCATCATTCGACCTTCGAATAGCCCATGGGCATCCCCACTTCATATGGTTCCGAAAAAGGATAGCAACGATTGGCGACCCACCGGTGATTACCGGCGAGTGAATGCCAAAACAACCCCTGATTGCTACCCGTTGCCTCATATACACGACTTGACGGCAACCTTATCCGGCGCGACTATATTCTCCAAAATCGACTTGGTTAAAGCGTATAACCAAATCCCGATGGCAACAGAAGATATCCCGAAAACGGCTATCATTACGCCTTTCGGACTTTTTGAATTTCTACGTATGCCATTCGGTCTTCGGAATGCAGCCCAAACATTCCAACGCTTCATCGACGAAGTATTTCGCGGTCTCGACTTTGTATACGCATACTTAGACGACTGCCTCATTGCCAGTCCAGACAAGGAAACTCACCTTAGGCACTTGGACTTGGCATTTGACAGGTTACGCCAACATGGTGTTACCATCAATATTCAAAAGTGTCAAATCGGTGTTGACTCACTCGACTTCCTGGGTCACACTATTGACTGCAAGGGCATTCGCCCACTGGCTACTAAGGTTGAGCCTCCTAAGAAAAACCGTTCTGGACGCACCGTAAGGTTCCCAGAATTTCTGCACACTTATTTGACTTAACGAAGTCGTGTGATTCACGCAACTCACTCGTTCGTGGTACTAACTATTTTTTTTGACGTATAAATTTTTTTATATACAGTACCACCAAACACAAAAATTTTTTTTTCAACAGTTCATGTAACATACACAAAAAAATTAATTAGATGTATTTTTTTTCGATGTTCTGAA